CAGTAAACCACAGTCCTCAGCTGCGCCAGGAGCCTTATTGTGATCATCTCCTCAGAGACCATCTTTTAATCAAGTAAAGGAGGGAAATTACACCTGGCAAAGTAGACAGTTTTGTGCTTCGCGTTTAGCTGATCATGACAGGGGTTTTCCCGGTGCTTTGTCCCACTCCCACAGAAAAAAGACTAACAAGAAGTGCTTTGCTTTTTAAGGCCAGGAGGGAATAACTTTCACAAGCCTGAAGCCTCTTAACAAAAATGCCCATGAATGCATGTTTGGAATAGTATGGAAGATTAACGGAATAGTATTCTACATGTAGGCCTATGCTCTGTTATAATATTGCAACCACAGCTAATGAAGTCACCGAAACCATTAACAAAGAGTTGCAATCTGTTTTGGAATGGGTGGCCACTAATAAACTGGTCCTGAACATCTCTAAAACTAAGAGCATTGTATTTGGTACAAATCATTCCCTAAGTTCTAGACCTCAGCTGAATCTGGTAATGAATGGTGTGGCTGTTGAACAATTTGAGGAGACTAAATTACTTGGCGTTACCTTAGATTGTAAACTATCATGGTCAAAACATATAGATTCAATGGTTGTAAAGATGAGGAGAGGTCTGTCCGTAATAAAGATATTATCTGCTTTTTTGACACCACACTCCAAAAAGCAAGTTCTGCAGGCTCTAGTTTTGTCTAATCTTGATTATTGTCCAGTTGTGTGGTCCAGTGCTGCAAGGAAAGACCTAGTTGAGCTGCAGCTGGCCCAAAACAGAGTGGCACGTCTTGCTCTTCATTGTAATCAGAGGGCTGATATAAATACTATGCATGCCAGTCTCTCTTGGCTAAGAGTTGAGGAGAGACTGACTGCATCACTTCTTCTTCTTTTTAGAAGAAACATTGATGTGTTGAAAATCCTAAATTGTTTGCATAGTCAACTTACACACAGCTCTGACACACACACTTACCCCACCAGACATGCCACCAGGGGTCTTTTCACAGTCCCCAAATCCAGAACAAATTCAAGGAAGCTTACAGTATTATATAGAGCCATTATTGCATGGAACTCCGTTCCATCTCATATTGCTCAAATAAACAGCAAACCTGGTTTCAGAAAATAGATAAAGCAACACTTCCCGGCACAACGCCTCTCCCCTATTTGACCTAGATAGTTTGTGTGTATGTATTGATATGTAGACTACGTGTGCCTTTATAAAAAGAATGTATGTAGTTCTGTTCTTGTCTATTAATGTTCTGTATTATGTCATGTTTCATGTTTTGTGTGGACCCCAGGAAGAGTAGCTGCTGCTTTTGCAACAGCTAATGGGGATCCTAATAAAATACCAAAAGATACCAAATACCAAACACTTCTGATTTAATGATAGGCATAATATGGATATTTAGGCTATGTGATTTTAATTTGAAATATGGGGCATGGGGCATTTTCTCATGTTCAGGTCAGAACCACTTGACTGTGAAATTCCTTCTATGCTACTGTCCTTGATTTTCCAACATAGTATTGTGTGAGTTTCTGTGACGTGTAACCTTGGTCTAGGATGTTAGGATTAGTGCCATAGTCGGACCACATCTGACAGTCCTCTTCTCTGTACAGGTAGAGCACCTAGCCCAGTGTCTCAGAGGAGGAATACCAGACCAACCAACCAGGAGGCGTCTCTCACTCTCTCCATTTTAAACCAAGTTAACACTCACTAGCAGAGGCTTGGAACTTGCCACCCAACAAGACTCATCCTTAGATCACCTGACAGACGGTGATGAGAAGATTACGCACAAGCACACGCTGTCCTTAAGATACCTTTGAACCTGACTGAGGCAGACTCGTAGGTAGGATAATAGGCCAAAAACCCTGTGGTGTGATTAGAGCACTCCCCTGGTTGAGGACAGAAGCAGAGATGACGAGCTTTGGCTGGGCCTCTGTTTGCTTTTATATACTGACTCAACACTTTGTTAGAGTTGCATAAGTGCCACTGATGTGTTGAAAGGTGCAAGGTGGGTCAGCTTAGGTGAGGTATAGTATGATGTACATTTGAGGTTTGTTAGGATGCAGAACGCACTTTAGGCCCCTGTTTGATAAAAATGCGACACCACTGCATTTCTTTTCCCTGAGGTATCCTGGCAACCAGTCTAGTCTGTAGCAGAGCCCACTATGGTGTGTGTGTGTGTGTGTGTGTGTGTGTGCGCACAGTGTAAAATTCACTCCTTATTCTCACAAGGAGGGCAAACTTGACTGAATTGTTTGAAGAAATGAAATGTAAAAAGATGAGACAGTATTCTGATTTAGAATTAACATACAGTAAAACTTAAATTAATAGCCCGTGCATTTATTTGCTTTAATCAGTTAACGCAACCAGCTCTTATTAGAGACCAGCTTCTATTAGAGACAGGCATCTATTTCCCTAATGCACACAGCTTTTGCTCAATAAAATGTAGAAAAGACTCCCACACTGTTTGTGACCATTATGACCAGTATAAACATTATACATTGAACAAAAATATAAACGCAACATGTAAGGTGTTGTTCACAAATGTGTTTATATCCCTGACAGGTGTGGCATATCAAGAAACTGATTAAACCGCATGATCATTACACAGGTGCACCTTGTGCTGGGGATAATAAAATACTCTAAAATGTGCAGTTTTGTCACACAACACAATGCCACAGTTGTACCAACTTTTGAGGGAGTGTGCAATTGAGGGGTGCAACTTTGGTTTTAGAAGTTGGGGGGGACAACCTGGTGGGGGGATCTGGGGGTCCTCCCTCAGAATCTTTGGGGCATGTAAAGCTCATTTCCTGCATTTCTACACAATCTAATATGACCCTTTTGGAGTCACTTTTATTGTAAATAAGAATAAAATATGTTCAGGGCCCACCACCTGCCAAATTTGGGTCGATTTTGACATTGGCGGGTAAGATGTCAATTTCACTAGCCACGTTGGTGGGTGGTCAGAGCTCCACAGTGCGAGCGTTTCACTGGTCTTTGTGAATAAAAATAGTCAAGCATGATCACATTTATAGCAAAATAAATGCTGCAGTAGCTGTTTCAAAGTATTTCTGCCGTTTTGTTTCATAGCTGGTAAATTAATCGTACAAAGTCAAAGAACTACGAATCCTATATAGCCCATCCCACCTCGCGCTGCAACACTGCCTGGCTGGGGGCTGTGCGCATGTGAAGAGCTGAGTGAAAGATTCATTTTTAGAAGCGCTGCGCACAGGCATAAAAGTTGGTCTAATTTACTTGAAACTAAAGTCTGCTGAAGTGAGACTTTGTCCTTGTGTTTCTTGGCTATTTACATTGTTTTGTTCACAAGCTAGATTGTTTTTCAATGATTGAGATTCAACTGCTAGGGAAGAGAAGACCGCTGCTCTCAATCTTACCATGGTAACCTCCCTCCCTTAAAGGGGCAGGTGAAAATGTTGTCTCATCTGTGATATTTTGGTTAAAAGACTGTCACAAAAAATGAAATGAACTTAAACATTATACCACATTACTTCTAACTAGTAATACATTATTGTTAAATCTACCTACCACAGTGGCTGGTGGACCAAAAAGTACATTTTTGGCCCGGAATATGTTTCTTAACACTTCTACATGAATGTGGATGCTACCATGATGATGGATAATCCTGAATGAATTGTGAATAAGATGAGTGAGAAAGTGAACATATTGAAATGATGTTCCGTTTTGTCTTTTACACCTCCAGCAGAGGAACTACATTTCTGAATGCATGATATTCAGTTTCACTGGCATATAGTACGTTCTATAGATGGTCTTAAACTGCAGTAATTTATGTCTGAGATTATATGAGTATGACTGGGCATTCAAACATATCTGTATCCATTCATTAGTAGTGTCTTCCTCACATTTCTTTGAGCTCAGTGAAAGTTGCGCCCCTGTTGCGTTTTATATTTTAGTTCTGTGTAATAACAAATCCATCCCAGATCAGACTTGCAAAGACTAGGCTGCCTATCATATACACCCCAGATCAGACTAGGCTGCCTATCATATACACCCCAGATCAGACTAGGCTGCCTATCATATACACCCCAGATCAGACTAGGCTGCCTATCATATACACCCCAGATCAGACTAGGCTGCCTATCATATACACCCCAGATCAGACTAGGCTGCCTATCATATACACCCCAGATCAGACTAGGCTGCCTATCATATACACCCCAGATCAGACTAGGCTGCCTATCATATACACCCCAGATCAGACTAGGCTGCCTATCATATACACCCCAGATCAGACTAGGCTGCCTATCATATACACCCCAGATCAGACTAGGCTGCCTCTCATATACACCCCAGATCAGACTAGGCTGCCTCTCATATACACCCCAGATCAGACTAGGCTGCCTATCATATACACCCCAGATCAGACTAGGCTGCCTATCATATACACCCCAGATCAGACTAGGCTGCCTATCATATACACCCCAGATCAGACTAGGCTGCCTATCATATACACCCCAGATCAGACTAGGCTGCCTATCATATACACCCCAGATCAGACTAGGCTGCCTATCATATACACCCCAGATCAGACTAGGCTGCCTATCATATACACCCCAGATTTCGCGCTTCAGCACAATTAATTTGATGTTGTTTTCTTTTTAGTGGCGCTATGGCTAGCAATGATGACAGAATAAAATAAAGTTTTTAATGCACATGACCGTGGGAATATCAGAGCTGTGTCCATGGTAACCTCCTAAACAATTCATTTAGACCCAGCATTTATTTGCTGAAATGTGTGCCAATGTTCAGCTATTAACGTTTTACGGCATACACTTCTTTTCCTTTTTAAATGCAGAGCAATTGCAAATGGATGGAAGGAAATTCCAGAAGCTGTAATGAACATTTGTGGTGAGGGAGACCCCTTTTGTGCCAGCTTTGTCCGGCATTTTTCCTGAATTCCATTTGAATTATCCTTCCTCAAAATAGTACAAAGTAGTCTAGCTCTAATTCATGTTTCTGTTTCAGATGATCTAATGGCAGACCAAAGAATGGACATTACCTCTACAATGAATGAGTTCATGTCCCCCAGCTCCAGCGACCTGATCAGCAGCTCCGTCAACACCCCAGGCATGGACTACACCCGCAAGAGGAAGGGCAGCACCTCCGACTACCAGTAAGCATCCCCATCACCTCACTGTGGCCCACTCAGTCACCGTACACAGTCTCCCCCAGCCTCCCACCACAGTCAGTGCTGGAGATTGTGTTCACATAATTTTTAAAGCTATGAATGAATAATTAACCCAACCCACTTACTTCACCTGCTATAGTTATGAGAAAATCGTGCCCATTCTGCAATAAGAAATTGTTATGGCATTGTGCTATATTGACTCATTTGTATGTCTACTCTGTAATTTTCCTGCAATCTGTTATTGATCCACATTCATCTGACAACGGAATGATTAACGCGTTATTTTCTTTGCAGAATTGATGGATTTTCTTTCGAGTAAGTATGGTTTTATTTTTTACCTTTGGTTGCAGTTAGCTTTTTGCTTAGATACTTTGAATATTATAGTGTGAATGGATATAAAGGTTTGGAAACAGGACTTGTAGACGGAACTAGTGCTAGGAAGAGTTGATGTCTTTTTGGGCGGGAATCTGATGGCATCTGATTATCTTCCACAGCGATAGCAGTATGGATACAGAAAAGGATAAACTTAGGTAAGAATTTTGGCAGCAAAAAGCATGAATTACCCTACACTATGAGGCTATTTTTTTCTTCTTCATATAACTGGTTCTATATTGTACAGGGGAGGCAGAGATGTTAAGATAGTGGTTTCACTGCAAAATTGAGTAGGTGTTAATCTATTGTCATTATATGTACCAGTGGTGAAGGGATACAGACTCGTAAGTGGTTGTTATTGTAACAGGACCTGTGTTGTGTGTGTGTGTGATTGCTGCCAGACATTTTCCACTAAAACATCGCTCCTTTTTTCCTTCTTCCAGGGAGTGTGGTGATCACCAGGGCCGGATAAAAAATGCCAGGTACCCAGACTCATTCCTGAATCCTCATGTTTCACTTTTTAAAGTCTCTGTCGGCAGCTACGCATAGTGTTTCTAGTGACCTGGCAAGCGGTTAAACTACAGGATCAAATATATTCTAATCTCTTTCCAGGGTGAATTGAATGCTCCTTTCTTTATTAGAGACAGAGAAAGCCTTGTGTCCCATCGATGAATAGGCACTTTATGTTGTCTATAGATTGCACTGTGGAACAGAAGGACTGGGAGTCATTCTAACTGTTTGCTTTCTGCTACACTGCCAATAGGGAGGCACACAGTCAGATTGAGAAGCGGCGCAGGGACAAGATGAACAGCTTCATAGACGAGCTGGCGGCGCTAGTGCCTACCTGCAACGCTATGTCCCGCAAGCTGGACAAACTCACGGTCCTACGCATGGCTGTCCAGCATATGAAGACATTACGAGGTGAGATGGAGTGAGATGCAGACAGAGACAGCAGGCAAATTATCACTGGACATCAAAGATGTTACTTGAGATAATTTTTTGTTTCTCTACAGGAGCAGCAAACCCTTACACAGAGGCGAACTACAAGCCATCTTTCCTGTCCGATGATGAACTAAAGCACTTAATATTGAGGGTAGGTTCAAGCCCTCCTTTAACTCCTCTTTGCTAAGTTCCTCTCTGCTATCTGGGTGAGCCTGATGACACAAGCCTCAATGTTTTTTTGTGTCTTCCTTTAGGCTGCTGATGGCTTTCTTTTTGTTGTTGGATGTGATCGTGGGAAGATCCTTTTCGTCTCAGAGTCAGTTTACAAGATCCTCAACTATTGCCAGGTACGTCTCCATTCCTGTCAAATGTCCTACTGTTATACTGTAATTCTTGTTGTACTATATCAGACCAGATCTGAGCTCACAAATGCTCATTCCCAAAGTCAATCTCCCCTCTCCTCTCCCTTTCCTCAGAATGACCTGATTGGCCAGAGTCTGTTTGATTACCTGCATCCTAAAGACATCGCCAAAGTCAAGGAGCAACTGTCGTCATCGGATACAGCACCCCGGGAGCGACTCATCGATGCCAAAAGTAAACACTCCCTCCTGTCTTGTCAGACCCTGTCCTCATAAGGGCAGGAAGTAGTCAAACAGAATTGATGCAGACTCGGGGAGGAAAATCAATACAGCATTATGCCTCATTAAAAACTGTATGCCAATTACCTGGCAGTTTACCTGCTATATTATGTATATAAACATCCTGGCATATAAGAGTATAATGCTTTTAACATTATATTGAAGTTATTGGGAATGAGTAGCTCACAATGTTCAGCAGTGGTCTTATACGATGTGATTGTTCTCCCTCAGCCGGCCTACCAGTTAAGACAGACATCACCCCTGGGCCATCTCGACTGTGCTCCGGGGCCAGACGCTCATTCTTCTGCCGAATGAAGTGTAACCGGCCCTACGTCAAAACAGAGGACAAGGACTTCCCCTCCACCTGCTCCAAAAAGAAAGGTACCCATATCAAGATCTAGGCCAGCCTCCTTCCCTGATGACTTTATTTTGATACTCAGAAACCTGGCAACACAGATCATTAGCATCATACTAGCATTACAATTTGAGTACAGGATGTATGCTTCTCTATGTACCAAATGGCTTGGCTAATAAACAATATGCTTATTTTAGAACTTCAAGTGAAACTATCGAGGATTAAAAACTACCTCGTAATTTTTTTAAACCTCCCGTTTTGTAATCTACGTGTCAATGTATGGCTTATACATGCAAACTAAACCATCTGCAGTCCTCTCCCAGCAGAGAAAGGCACAGAATTCTTACATTCTAACCTGGCATCATTTAGTGCTCGTTCCTGTCACGTGGAGCAGGGATAGTTAGATCTGTTAGACATCGGTAGTAGTTTAATTTGTCTTTCAATGCATATCTCTGGAAAACAAGCAGAAAATTATGTGTGCTAAAGATGGCTTTGTAGCCAGACAAATACATTCTAAGATAATTTGTCAGCCAGATCAGAAACACTATGCTCACAACCTGTATCTCCTAAATGGTGTCACTGGTGTACTTGGTTAGACTTTTTGAATATATTGCGCAATAGACTTGTAGTGTTGCACGCTATACTGAAACTTCGGTACTTTTTCGATACCAGAACATGAAAAACGGTTTGGTAATATAATTGTTACTTTTGGTATTTCTGTCAAAAATCTCACGTCACATACGGATTGATAGGATCGAGTCTGTCTAATAATTTGTTTGAATCTTCTCAAGGGGGCAGTTGTAAGCTAGCCAGACACAGCGCAAGCCACTTTTGAGAAGCAAGCGAGAGGAGAGAAAATGGTGACAGCATTGCTTCTTCTAATGAAAACATCATACATTCACGCCAGCAGCTTGTTGACAAAACTGGCTCCAGAAGCGAACTATGGGAATATTTTGCTTACACAGCAGATGATCAGGACCAGCCCACCGAAACCACTAGACAAAAAGTGTTACAAAGCAGTGCAAGGGAGGTTTAGTTCCAAAACAACATACAAAAAAAAAATATATTTACACATTATTTGCATTGTAACGGTATTCTACTAGCAACTAAATTGGAATTATTGAGTGACAATGACATGAACATACAGTTGAAGTCGGAAGTTTACATACACTTAGGTTGGAGTCATTAAAACTTGTTTTTCAACCACTGCACAAATTTCTTGTTAACAAACTATAGTTTTGGCAGGTCGGTTAGGACATCTACTTTGTGCATGACACAAGTAAATTTTCCAACAGTTGTTTACAGACAGATTAATTCACTGTATCACAATTCCAGTGGGTCAGAAGTTTACATACACTAAGTTGACTGTGCCTTTTAAACAGCTTGGAAAATTCCAGAAAATTATGTCATGGCTTTAGAAGCTTCTGATAGGCTAATTGACATCATTTGAGTCAATTGGAGGTGTACCTGTGGATGTATTTCAAGGCCTACCTTCAAACTCGGTGCCTCTTTGCTTGACATCATGGGAAAATCAAAAGAAATCAGCCAAGACTGCAGAAAAAATATTGTAGACCTTCACAAGTCTGGTTCATCATGGGGAGCAATTTCCAAACGCCTGAAGGTACCACGTTCATCTGTACAAACAATAGTACATAAGTATAAACACCATGGGACCACGCAGCCGTCGTACCGCTCAGGAAGGAGACGCGTTCTTTCTCCTAGAGATGAACGTACTTTGGTGCGAAAAGTGCAAATCAATCCCAGAACAACAGCAAAGGACCTTGTGAAGATGCTGGAGGAAACGGGTACAAAAGTATCTATATCCACAGTAAAACGAGTCCTATATCGACGTAACCTGAAAGGCCACTCAGCAAGGAAGAATCCACTGCTCCAAAACCACCATAAAAAAGCCAGACAACGGTTTGCAACTGCACATGGGGACAAAGATCGTACTTTTTGGAGAAATGTCCTCTGGTCTGATGAAACAAAAATAGAACTGTTTGGCCATAATGACCATCGTTATGTTTGGAGGAAAAAGGTGGTGGCTTGCAAGCCGAAGAACACCATCCCAACCGTGAAGCACAGGGATGGCAGCATCATGCGGTGGGGGTGCTTTGCTGCAGGACTGGTGCACTTCATAAAATAGATGGCATCATGAGGAAGGAAAATGATGTTGATATATTGAAGCAACCTCTCAAGACATCAGTCAGGATGTTAAAGCTTGGTCGCAAATGGGTCTTCCAAATGGACAATGACCCCAAGCATACTTCCAAAGTTATTGGCCATCACAAAGCCCTGACCTCAATCCTATAGAAAATGTGTGGGCAGAACTGAAAAAGCGTGTGCGAGCAAGGAGGCCTACAAACCCGACTCAGTTACACCAGCTCTGTCAGGAGGAGTGAGCCAAAATTCACCCACCTTATTGTGGGAAGCTTGTGGAAGACTACCCGAAACGTTTGACCCAAGTTAAAGAATTTAAAGGCAATGCTACCAAATACTAATTGAGTGTATGTGAACTTCTGACCCACTGGGAATGTGATGAAAGAAATAAAAGCTGAAATAAATCATTCTCTCTACTATTATTCTGACATTTCACATTCTTTTTTTTGCCATTGTATCGTTTTGGTATCGAGTACCGTTTCGGTATCGAGTATTGTGATACTAAACCTGGTATTGGTATCGAAGTCAAAATTCGGGACAACACTACCAGAGGCTACAAGGTTTTTACCAGGCACGCGTCCATCCATTTATCCCGTTCGCTTTATCCCGTTCACAAATCGCATACCTTTTTTGTTGTCAACTATCCATCCATATCTAATAATTCAATTTGTCCACATTTTGTCTTTATAAACTTTCACACATGTATTCCATGATATTGGGTAATCCAATGGGCAACACAGCAGCTGTTGATTGCCAGCGATTATCATTCATCACATAGGCATATGTTATATATAATTAATACACGACTTTGAAGGAGTAGGACATTTGATGCATACTAGTCTGAGACCATGCATGCAACAACAGGAACTAGCCGGCAACAACCGAACATAATGGACAATGTTGATTGGCAGATGGAATGATGTCCAATGAGGTTGCAAGTTTTTAAAGTGGGAGGCGAGATCAGGTTGGCCTAGTATTGTCCAATGAGGTTGTGGGGTGGGCCAAGGACATGCACACCAGTTTTATTTTATTCATTTTTGTACTATTTTTAAAAAACTATTTTTGTGCACATGCTACATGGGCTAGAGCAATTTTCGGGCACCCTTTTTAGGCTCTTGAGTGCTACTTTCAGAACTACTTGCTTAAAAGTATACAAAACCTCTGTTCAATCTTTAATATGTGCTGTGATTAAAACCATTTAGTAAGCAAAGCTGTGTAGGTTATGCAAAACGGCAAGCAAATCTCCAGTGGAGCTCTCGTTGAATATTTCAGTGATTATTAATATTTTATCTAGGAAAACTTTATTCTCCCCTTGATTGACCCCTGATTCAGATGGCTAGTATTACTTGTTTGCTTAGCTTGTGGTTTTCTCATTTAAATCATTTAGACTTGACTTAGTCATGGACCACCTGTAAACAGATGGATAACCATTTGTATGGGAGGAAAGATATTTACAATGTTTCTTTTTCTACTTACAGCCGACCGTAAGAGCTTCTGCACGATCCACAGTACTGGCTACCTGAAGAGCTGGCCGCCCACCAAGATGGGCCTGGACGATGACAACGAGCCTGACAACGAGGGCTGTAACCTCAACTGCCTGGTGGCCATCGGCCGGCTGCACCCCCACATTGTCCCCCAGCCCTCCCACGAGGACATCCGCGTCAAACCCACCGAATACGTCTGCCGCCATGCCATTGATGGGAAGTTTGTCTTTGTTGACCAGAGGTACGATGATGGAGCTTATGACTTCATTTTACTATGACATTTTTAGTTTATGATTAGATGTGCGGTAGTCGGTCATAAAGTTGGCCAAGAAAACACACATTCTAAAAGTATGGTTTAAACTAATACGTGAAGAGGCAACAAATCATCAGTAAATTTCTCCTCTTCAACCACCCTTCACCCAGATTAGCCCATCTATACCAGCCTAGGCTTGTCAAGGCAGGTTCAGCCTCAGCATATTTTATGAATTAATCTCCTGCTCACAGCTTGACACCTCACAGGCCACTATTACTCATGGCGATAATTAAATTTCATAAAAATGTCAGTGAACTGATTAATGTTCATAGGAAATGCTCCGGTGCCATTTTAAAGTCTCTTCAGTGTTCTCATCTCAAAAACAAAGAGTTTCTTATCTGTGCTGTTCTATCTTTCCTCTCTATTCAGGGCCACAGCCATTCTTGCATACTTACCCCAGGAGCTTCTTGGCACCTCCTTCTACGAGTATTTCCATCAGGATGATATTGGCCACCTGGCAGAATGTCACAGACAAGGTATTGGATCAACTGTCCAGCATGACAACATTCATTTGTGATTTACATCTTACTATATTTAGTCACCACATTTTGTTCTGTGACCTTACATCCTGGGTATCTTGTGTTTCACAGTGCTGCAGATGAGAGAAAAGATCAACACAAACTGTTACAAGTTCAAGATTAAAGATGGCTCCTTCATCACTCTGCGAAGCCGCTGGTTCAGTTTCATGAATCCCTGGACCAAAGAGGTGGAGTACATTGTCTCCACAAACACAGTGGTCTCGTAAGTCACCCATCTCTCTACTGTCCTATTTATGATGGTTACATAGAGTATGTTTTCATATACAGCGGGGAGAACAAGTATTTGATACACTGCCGATTTTGCAGGTTTTCCTACTTACAAAGCATGTAGAGGTCTGTAATTTTTATCATAGGTACACTTCAACTGTGAGAGATGGAATCTAAAAATCCAGAAAATCACATTGTATGATTTTTAAGTAATTAATTTGCATTTTATTGCATGACATAAGTATTTGATACATCAGAAAAGCAGAACTTAATATTTGGTACAGAAACCTTTGTTTGCAATTACAGAGATCATACGTTTCCTGTAGGTCTTGACCAGGTTTGCACACACTGCAGCAGGGATTTTGGCCCACTCCTCCATACAGACCTTCTCCAGATCCTTCAGGTTTCGGGGCTGTCGCTGGGCAATATGGACTTTCAGCTCCCTCCAAAGATGTTCTATTGGGTTCAGGTCTGGAGACTGGCTAGGCCACTCCAGGACCTTGAGATGCTTCTTACGGAGCCACTCCTTAGTTGCCCTGGCTGTGTGTTTCGGGTCGTTGTCATGCTGGAAGACCCAGCCACGACCCATCTTAAATGCTCTTACTGAGGGAAGGAGGTTGTTGGCCAAGATCTCGCGATACATGGCCCCATCCATCCTCCCCTCAATACGGTGCAGTCGTCCTGTCCCCTTTGCAGAAAAGCATCCCCAAAGAGTGATGTTTCCACCTCCATGCTTCACGGTTGGGATGGTGTTCTTGGGGTTGTACTCATCCTTCTTCTTCCTCCAAACACGGCGAGTGGAGTTTAGACCAAAAAGCTCTATTTTTGTCTCATCAGACCACATTACCTTCTCCCATTCCTCCTCTGGATCATCCAGATGGTCATTGGCAAACTTCAGACGCGCCTGGACATGCGCTGGCTTGAGCAGGGGGACCTTGCGTGCGCTGCAGGATTTTAATCCATGACGGCGTAGTGTGTTACTAATGGTTTTCTTTGAGACTGTGGTCCCAGCTCTCTTCAGGTCATTGACCAGGTCCTGCCGTGTAGTTCTGGGCTGATCCCTCACCTTCCTCATGATCATTGATGCCCCACGAGGTGAGATCTTGCATGGAGCCCCAGACCGAGGGTGATTGACCGTCATCTTGAACTTCTTCCATTTTCTAATAATTGCGCCAACAGTTGCCTTCTCACCAAGCTGCTTGCCTATTGTCCTGTAGCCCATCCCAGCCTTGTGCAGGTCTACAATTTTATCCCTGATGTCCTTACACAGCTCTCTGGTCTTGGCCATTGTGGAGAGGTTGGAGTCTGTTTGATTGAGTGTGTGGACAGGTGTCTTTTATACAGGTAACGAGTTCAAACAGGTGCAGTTAATACAGGTAATGAGTGGAGAACAGGAGGGCTTCTTAAAGAAAAACTAACAGGTCTGTGAGAGCCAGAATTCTTACTGGTTGGTAGGTGATCAAATACTTATGTCATGCAATAAAATGCAAATTAATTACTTAAAAATCATACAATGTGATTTTCTGGATTTTTGTTTTAGATTCCGTCTCTCACAGTTGAAGTGTACCTATGATAAAAATGACAGACCTCTACATGCTTTGTAAGTAGGAAAACCTGCAAAATCGGCAGTGTATCAAATACTTGTTCTCCCCACTGTATGTTCATGTGTCATTGGGGCTTCATTGATCGTTTTAGAGCTAACTGGCAGTATGTCGTGGATGTACTGTTTTTGTACTTGAAACTGATCCTGATGTTGCTGTGTGAATCCATCTCTAGGTGCAGTATGCTGGACGGTGCAGACCCCAGCTATCCTCAGTCTGCTATCTCTCCCACTGCCTCTATGGACAGTGTGCTGACGTCAGAAGGTGACACTATTGAATGATGTGAAAGAAGGCATGCTTTTCTACATATCAGAGGGGCTTCCTTTAGGGCATTGGAACAAGATCTGAGATTTGTCAGCTGATTCTCTCTGTACGCAAAGATACAAGCTATAATGAATAGCTTCCTTTGTGATTAAATGTACTGTATCTACGTGTACGAAATGATAAAACATCGGAGATCTTGTAACAAGACTATAGGAGCATTGGATCAAATGTGAAAATGCAATGTTCTCAGTCAATCCAGGAGCAGGCAGTGTGATTGATATGTTTGATTGCAGGTGGAGGGAGACAGGCCCTTCAGACGGTGCCAGGCATCCCCGGGGGAACACGTGCAGGCGCCGGCAAGATCGGCCGCATGATCGCAGAGGAGGTGATGGAGACTCAGAGGTGAGAGAGTGAAGGCAGAAAATGGATGACAGGTTGTTAATAGCTGTAGAACCAAAAGAATAACACCCAGACCATGAAGCCTGTCTCGTTCGGTGATTACTTTTCTGTATCATCCCTTCGTGTGAATTCCCTGCTCTGATATTTATGCACCCTTTATCAAAAAGTGACAGGCTTGCAAATGAGTCTGTTCAGTTGGGCTATGTCAGCTATGATGAATTACCTGGAGCTGAAGGTTTATTAGCTGACTTCTTCACACTGTCTCAGAGCCCTAGTCTAATGGCGTCGTCTGTTCTTCTCTCTGCCAGGACCAGAGGCTCCACACCCTCCAGCTGTGGCTCCAGCCCCCTGAACATCAGCACCCCTCCTCCAGACTGCTCTCCAGGGGGCAAGAGAGTGAGTCTGAGGGAGCCACACAATAAGAACATTGGGATGGTTGAAAGATGACATTGATGGATTTTTCCAATAGCAATGTCTGGCACAAGAAATTGATACCTCGCTCGCATCACTGATTAATTTGTTGGATCTTGTGCTTGATCCAGTATTGTCTGTTGGTTACTTAGTCAGGACTCTGTCCTGTGGTTGAAAGCTGATCTTCTATGTAGACCACCACTGACCTATTTGTTCTTGCAGATTCAGTCTGGAACGCCAGACCTTCCGTCGGCAGGAATGCTACCAGGAGGACCTGACTCCATTGGATACCCATACTCCAACCAGTCCATTATGAGTAAGTAGCTGTGCACACAAATGTAACATGTTCTAAGAATTTCAAACACTGAATCCTGCCCATTCAAGTAAACATGTCATATTTGTGGTGAAAAAACAAAGCCGTATCAAAAACCAGTTTGACTAACTACAGCACTTTCCTTCAACACCCCTCTAGGTGACAACTCGCACCTCAGCATTGACATCATGGACGAACCAGGCTCCAGCAGCCCCAGTAACGACGAGGCAGCCATGGCTGTGATCATGAGTCTCCTGGAGGCTGATGCAGGCCTCGGTGGCCCTGTGGACTTTAGTGACTTACCCTGGCCCTTGTGAGGACAGGCCCAGAGGAATGAGGCATAGCAGGGTTGTTGGAATCCTTGGCCTAAGGCCCACAGAACCCTGAATTGACGATGCCGTCATATCAACAGGAACCATGCTAGCTAGCTAGCTACTACAGCTACTGTGCCTCATGGCACTGTGGGACTCATTGGAGCAAATTGCTCCATGTTGGGAGTGGGACTGGTACAGTACAGGACCCCTCAAGTGTACCCGTGTCTGTATACAGGCCCTCCCTTGCCTGCTGATGGGCATTCTTCCATTGACATTCACCACAGGATGATTCAGTTAGCATTTTCAATGTCTATTTTCCTGCATTATCCTACCAGGGATTTCTATATTGAAAACATGTCTTAGTGTTTGGATGGTTTTCCTTGTTGGATATCCCCATTGACAACTGTGTCAAATCTTGAAATAGTTTGTAATTAATACTTTATGCAAAATGTATTAGTATTGTATCAGCAGTGAAATATTTTTTAAATGAAAGAATTTGTTTTGGATTGTATCTCTTCTCCAAGTCTTTGAGCTAAACAGACAGTGTGTTAATGATGCTAATTAATAAGTAGTACGAGTGCCATGATTGCGCATTTTAAATATGGATACTATCAGAAATGTTCTAAACAATCGCACTTGATGAATCAGGGTGAGTGAGTCATTCATGGAATTGCATGTAATGGAAGCAATTCATCACATTTATTTCATAAGATTTGCTCCATTGGCCCTATTGGTGCAGCACTGGGATATTTTTAAATCATGTTGCCATCCATAGGCAGAAATTGTCAGCTAGAGATAACAGGAGACTGCATTGCTAGTGTGGGGAGGAGAAACACTTGGGAACACAACTATGCTGACAGAAGCCAGGTAATATTTGCAAGTGTGGATATTAGAGCAATATGCTATAGTTACTAGTCTTCAATCATTTGAAATAATGAGGAATACTAGTTAAATCCTTCATTATAAAATTAAGGAATTCCACTTTGAAGTAGGACAGGACACATTGAGCATTTTTTGAAAACTTTGCCAACAACAAATGTACATGTTCTGCTTGATGCTCATGCAGTGTGAGCAATACTGGTCCCTTTCTTCAGACCCAGTAAGCGGTTGACTACTTCAGTATACAAGCTATTGATGGCTGACATGGTGCAAATATGTTAGGCTTGCTCTCTCCAGTTGGAACAGATTCAATGTTGTACCATATTGGGTCTTTACGCTCCATTGACTTAAGTCGGAGTGCCTAATAATGAACAACATAAGCTTGGGTCCTTTCCAGCACAAGCGAACATACAGCAATGTGATATCGATAAGGAACAACTGACCAATACATACTCATTGCCAAATTGGGATCTCAATCAAATGGAGTCAATGATGAAAGTGAGAGGAATATTAAATAAAAAATGATTTATTGAGGCTCCCCAGGTGCTCTGGTGGTAGACTACTGTAGTAACATTCTCATCCGCACCACCACACCACATCAACAGGGGGAGCAAGCAGAAGAGGATAAAACCAAACTCTTTAGGAACTACAGTATTGTAACTGTCCACAGAGCAGCACCACACCCCACCCATAACTCATCACAGGAGGACCCACAGACAAGTTTGTGATACAACCTTTTCATCAAATGAAAAGAATACTTCAAATATTCTTGATAAAAAAGATCTCCTTTGGTCAGTTAAAAAAAGAAACAGTGCAAGGAGGCAATTGTTTACTGTGTGCTTTGCTTCTCCTTCCTAGGCTGTTGACAATATATACCAGTTCATTTTTTTTTGCCTTATTAAGCTGCAGAAGAGGTGCAAAGGCAATTTGGTTTCTGCTGTCAAACTCGCTCCAGTGCTCTGTGGAGGGAGAAGGGGGCCCAGTCTCAGACAGCCGGTGAGGGGGCGTCTGGGTCTGGCTCGTAGTGGTAGATGGGCTGAGGCTGGATGTCCAGTTCGTCCACCTGAGGGCCAGGGTGCATGTTGACAAGCTGGTCCTGGGGAATGTCTGCAGCGGCGGCTGCTAGGTTTGTGATAGACTTGCTCTTCACACACTGGAAGTCAACATGGCGGCTCTTGCCCTCCTCCTTCTCCCAGGACATGCGGATGAAGGGCCGTTGGACATAGTTGTAGATGACCTCTGGCCGGCCGCCGGGACGCTTCTTCACCTTCTCCTTGTAGGTGGGGTAACCTGGGAAGGTAGAAAGATACATTTTGTTTAGGAGTTGGTGACTGTACGTTTTCTGTTAACACTTATCTAATTTTTGAAAAATACCTTGTATTAAATACATGTTGTATTATAATTATCATAAAGTATTTAATACCATAAGAGTAATTAGCTTATATTTCTTACCAGTTAAGTAGGTAACCCTTAGGCATATATTAATGTTGTCTTCTACATTGAATTAGTAGAAATTCTGTTTACATACACTTAGCCAATTATTTAAACTGTGTTTCAGAATTACTGACATTTAATTTAGTACATTCCCTTTTAATCAGTGTAGGATCACTCAATTTATTTTAAAGAATGTTAAATGGGCAGGTATTAGTGTAATGTTAGAACCGAAGTGTTCTAATTCACGCCATTGAAATCTCATTGCCTTGACAGGCATTACCCATGCTCTGTAAGTCGCTCTGGATAAGAGCGTCTGCTAAATGACCAATTATTATTATTATTATTATTATATTAAATTGTTTAACTTGGGTCAAACGTTTCGGGTAGCCTTCCACAAGCTTCCCACAATAAGTTGGGTGAATTTTGGCCCATTCCTCCTGACAGAGCTGGTGTAACTGAGTCAGGTTTGTAGGCCTCCTTGCTCGCACACGCTTTTTCAGTTCTGCCCTACACATTTTCTATAGGATTCAGGTCAGGGCTTTGTGATGGCCACTCCAATACGTTGACTTTGTTCTCCTTAAGCCATTTTGCCACAACTTTGGAAGTATGCTTGGGGTCATTATCCATTTGGAAGACCATTTGCGACCAAGCTTTAACTTCCTGACTGATGTCTTGAGATATTGCTTCAATATATCCACATAATTTTCCTTCCTCATGATGCCATCTATTTTGTGAAGTGCACCAGTTCCTCCTGCAGCAAAGCACCCCCACAGAATGATGCTGCCACCCCCGTGCGTCACGGCTGGGATGGTGTTCTTCTGCTTGCAAGCAACCCCCTTTTTCCTCCAAACATAACAATGGTCATTATGGCCAAACAGCTCTATTTTTGTTTCATCAGACCAGAGGACATTTCTCCAAAAAGTACAATCTTTGTCCCCATGTGCAGTTGCAAACCGTAGTCTGGCTTTTTTATGGCGGTTTTGGAGCAATGGCTTCTTCCTTGCTGAGCGGCCTTTCAGGTTATGTTGATATAGGACTCATTTTACTGTGGATATAGATACTTTTGTACCTGTTTCCTCCTGCATCTTCACAAGGTCCTTTGCTGTTGTTCTGGGATTTATTTGCACTTTTCGCACCAAAGTACGTTCATCTCTAGGAGACAGATCACGTCTCCTTCCTGAGCGGTATGACGGCTGCGTGGTCCCATGGTGTTTTTACTTGCATACTATTGTTTGTACAGATGAACGTGGTACCTTCAGGCGTTTGGAAATTGCTCCCAAGGATGAACCAGACTTGTGAAGGTCTACTATTTTTCTTCTAAGGTCTTGGCTGATTTCTTTTGATTTTCCCATGATGTCAAGCAAAGAGGCACTGAGTTTGAAGGTAGGCCTTGAAATACATCCACAGGTACACCTCCAATTGACTCAAATGATGTCAATTAGCCTATCAAAAGCTTCTAAAGCAATGACATCATTTTCTGGAATTTTCCAAGCTGTTTAAAGGCACAGTCAACTTGGTGTATGTAAACTTCTGACCCACTGGCACTATGATACAGTGAATTAAAGTGAAATAATCTGTCTGTAAACAATTGTTGGAAAAATTACTTGTGTCTTGCACAAAGTAGATGTCCTAACCGACTTGCAAAAACTATAGTTTGTTAACAAGACATTTGTGGGGTGGTTGAAAAACAACTTTTAATGACTCCAACCTAAGTGTATGTAAACTTCCGACTTCAACTGTACCTGTAGAATAACACGGTTATTACTCTACTAGTAACATTGTCACATGCTGTAATGTAGCAATAGGGCCTATAAGGATTGCATAATAGTAATGGATATGAGTGATTATGGTAGGTTTAAGAGCAACTTGCTTAGTGTTATCAGAAATTGAATAGACATGAAAGCAAACTTCTTGATTGACATTATGTGGAACAAGGAAATTCAGTGATGATCCACCATACCTTCAATTCCAAGTCTGATTTTCTTAAGTCCTCTGTCTTTTAATACTGATTTGGCAACGTCTCGATTCTCTATGTACTTGAAGAATCTGTACAGTTTTGTGCTGTATATAACTGTCAAGAAAAATGAATAAGTAATATTTTTTAAATTATTAAAATGTCATACATATTAGACGTAAAATAGCACAGGCATTCAGCAATACAGATCGGTCAGGTGTTCAGAATTGTTAAATGCCTAGTGCACTTTATTTCCAGGGTTTGTATCATGTCATAACAGCTGATGAAACTTGTTTCTTTTTGACAATTTTAAGGAAAAACTATTACAGTAAGTAACTTGTTACACAGAACTGATGCACTGGGCCTTTAACATTAGGGATACATGTCATACCAGTCAAACACACAAGGATATAAACCTCTCATGGGTGATTGTTGAAATGGCTTGCTTGTACAGTATACTACTATGCACATATACTATATCAACAGAGCCAGTGAGGCGAATGACCTGACTCACTCTGTGAATACTCCTCTCCCATCTGCGGAGGGTACTCCTCGTCCCAGTCCACCACGTCGTCGTCGGTCAGGACCACCACGTGACACTCCCTCTCTCCATTCTGGGCACTGGCAACCATCAGAGGCAGCACCATCTCCTCCAAGTAGAACTCAAACTGACGCCTCGCCCCATCGTTGGACAGCTCGTGCATGAGTGCACCTAGAAGATAGGAGTGGGTGGAGTCAGTGGGGCAGGGTCATGAAAGTGCATCATGGGACATGTGATGATCACACTCCAGTTCTCACGCTGAAATGTACAGTGCATTCGGAAAGTATTCAGACCCCTTGACTTTTTGCACATTTTGTTTAGTTACAGCCTTATTTTAAAATTGATTAAATCGTTTTTTCCCCCTCATCAAGCTACACACAATACCCCATAACAGTAAAAACTTTGTTGAAGCATCTTGGGCAGCGACTACAGCCTCGAGTCTTCTTGGGTATGATGCTACAAGTTTGGCACACCTGTATTTGGGGAGCTTCTCCCATTCTTCTCTGCAGATCCTCTCAAGCTCGGTCAGGTTGGATGGGGAGCATCGCTGCACAGCTACTTTCGGGTCTCGCCAAAGACATTAGATCGGGTTCAAGTCCGGGCTCTGGCTGGGCCACTCAAGGACATTCAGAGACTTGTCCCGAAGCCACTCCTGCGTTGTCTTTGCTGTGTGCTTAGGGTCGTTGTCCTGTTGGAAGGTGAACCTTCACCCCAGTCTGAGGTCCTGAGCGCTCTGGAGCAGGTTTTCATCAAGGATCTCTCTGTTCATCTTTCGCTTGATCCTGACTAGTCTCCCAGTCCCTGCCGCTGAAAAACATTCCCACAGCATGATGCTGCCACCACTATGCTTCACCGTAGGGATGGTGCCAGGTTTCCTCCAGACGTGACGCTTTGCATTCAGGCCAAAGAGTTCAATCTTGGTTTCATCAGACCAGAGAATCTTTTTTCTCATGGTCCGAGAGTCCTTTAGGTGCATTTTGGCAAACTCCAAGCGGGCTGTCATGTGCCTTTTACCGAGGAGCTGCTTCCGTCTGGCCACTCTACCATAAAGGCCTGATTGGTGGAGTGCTGCAGAGATGGGAGAACATTCCAGAAGGACAACCATCTCCACAGAGGAACTCCGGAGCTCTGCCAGAGTGACCATCGGGTTCTTGGTCACCTCCCTGACTAAGGCCCTTCTCCCCCGATTGCTCAGTTTGGCCGGGCGGCCAGCTCTAGGAAGAGTCTTGGTGGTTCCAAACTTCTTCCATTTAAGAATGATGGAGGCCACTGTGTTCTTGGGGACCTTCAACGCTGTAGAAATGTTTTGGTACCCTTCCCCAGATCTGTGCCTTCGACACAATCCTGTCTCGGAGCTCTACGGACAATTCCTTCCACCTCATGGCTTGGTTTTTGCTCTGAAATGCACTGTCAACTGTGGGACCTTATATAGACAGGTGTGTGCTGTTCCGAATCATGTCCAATCAATTGAATTTACCACAGGAGGACTCCAATCAAGTTGTAGAAACATCTCAAGGATGATCAATTGAAACAGGTATGCAACTGAGCGCAATTTCGAGTCTCCTAGCAAAGGGTCTGAATACTTAAATTAAAAAAGGTTTTACCTTTGTCATTATGGGGTATTGTGTGTATATTGATGAGCAAAACATTCAATTAATCCATTTTAGAATAAGGCTGTAACGCAACAACATTTGGAAAAAGGGAAAGCTCTGAATACGAATGCACTGTACATGTTCTCACACAAACACGCACTAGCTCACTCGCAGCAAGTCAACAAAACTAGGCACTCATCCACATTTCAAACAATGTCAATCAATGGCTACAGCAGTCAGTGACCCACATTGTGGAAACTGCGATCTGACGTGCATCAAATCTGTAGGCTAATATTGACCTGGTTTCAGAGCTGTGCATCATATCAACACCCCCACAACACTTAACACAGGCTAAATATTGCAGCTAATACAGAACGACATGGCATGAAATATTACACAGGACTATTCTGCCTAAAATGTAATAACCCATTATCAATTTATAGCAATGAGAGGGAAAAGAGGGTATCATATAATATATATACATATATACACTCACTGAGGTCTCTACACTTGATGGTGCTGTAGTCAAAGGAGATGCAGAGGTAGTCACATGCTTCTCTCAGCTCAGGAATGGAGATCCCATCAGGACAGCAGATTATCCCAGATTTGTAGTAATCCTGCCATTTAAAAGTCACACAGGAAAAACAAAAACCAAGCAGCCATTACTGAGGCTGCTCTGCGCAAACACAGAACAGAGCCTTCTGACAACAGCAAATGGCAGCGACGTCACAACCCTCTCTCCCCCCCCACCCCCACAGATCTATTTACAGCCAGCGGAATATTGACATCGTTCAAGTATAACGCTGAAAATAAAAGGTATCGAGGCAACAGCAGCAATGCTCGGATATTCACAAGATAGCGTCAGAAACGGCTGTTAGCTTTCTTTGTGCCCTAAATGCGAATGCTGCCAGCCATGTTTTTTTTTTCTCTCCCTGCTGTTATGGTCGGGTCGCATTTGATACAAAGAGCTCTTCACAATCACAGAACAGATCTGTACTACGAGACCGTTCAATACTGAAAATCCAAGATAAGCCTTGAAATCAAAACACAGAAGTGCTTGTAGCATACCTGTGTCCTGACTATCTACATTTCTCTCCCCCATACAAAGAAGCATACAGATGTGAAATTGCTACTCTGGCATGCTAGAACACAGTACTACCTCTGAGGCACACAGAGAGCTGCCCCTGAGAATGAAATAAAGCCCAGAAACCCTATGATACACACAAACAGATGCCATTACCTGGTTGTTCTCCTGCCCTTTGTCCCTGGAGACTTAAGTGGAATGCCGGGGCGAACGGACACAATAATGAAAGCACTAGCATGTTGTACAGTATTAGTAGCTCTGATCCCTGAAAATCTGCCTTACGTAACACTGCACAGATTATCTGCCCTCCATTTCCACACTTCCGCAAAAATACACAATGTCAGATGGATAACCTCAGAGATGTTTGTAAACAAGCTTATTTGTCAACGTATCCGTTCGTAATTGCATACGAATGCACTACAAGTGTATAAAAACGAGCACACAGACATGCAATCTCCATAGACAAACATTGGCAGTGGAATGGCCTTACTGAAGAGCTCAGACTTTCAACGTGGCACCGTCATAGGATGCCACCTTTCCAACAAGTCAGTTCGTCAAATTTCGGCCCTGCTAGAGCTGCCCCGGTCAACTGTAAGTGCTGTTATTGTGAAGTGGAAACATCTTGGAGCAACAACATCGCAGCCGCAAATTGGTAGGCCACACAAGCTTACAGAAAGGGACCGCCGAGTGCTGAAGCGCGTAGCGCCTAAAATGTGTCTGTCCTCGGTTGCAACACTCACTACCGAGTTCCAAACTGCCTCTGGAAGCAACGTCAGCACAATAAATGTTAGTCGGCAGCTTCATTAAATGGGTTTCCTAGGCCAAGCAGCCGCACACAAGCCTAAGATCACTTCGCAATGCCAAGTGTCAGCTGAAGTGGTTTAAAGCTCGCCGCCATTGGACTCTGGAGCAGTGGAAGCTCGTTCTCTGGAGTGATGAATCACGCTTCACCATCTGGTAGTCCAACGGACAAATCTGGGTTTGGCGGATGCCAGGAGAACGCTACCTGCACCAATGCATAGTGCCAACTTTAAAGTTTGGTGGAGGAGGAATAATAGTCTGGGACTGTTTTTCATGGTTCGGGCTAGGCCCCTTAGTTCCAGTGAAGGGAAATCTTAACGCTATAGCATACAATTACATTCTAGACGATTCTGTGCTTCCAACTTTGTGGCAACAGTTTGGGGAAGGCCCTTTCCTGTTTCAACATGACACAAGCGAGGTCCATACAGAAATAGTTTGATGAGATCGGTGTGGAAGAACTTGACTAGCCTGCACAGAGCCCTGTTCTCAAACCCATCGAACACCTTTGGGATGAATTGGAATGCCGACTGCAAGCCAGGCCTAATCGCCCAACATCACTAATGCTTGTGGCTGAATGTAAGCAAGTCCCCGCAGCAATGTTCCAACATCTAATGGAAAGCCTTCCCAGAAGAGCAGAGGCTGTTATAGCAGCAAAGTGGGGACCAACTCCATATTAATGCCTATGATTTTGGAATGAGATGTTCCATGAGCTGGTGTCCACATACTTTTGGTCATGCAGTGTACCTTAACGTCCTTCATACTGGACACAGAGACATAAAAATGGTATCCACGAGTTCATCTGACTATGGGGAAGTAGATAAAGGGCATCATCGTCAAAATCTCGAAGTATCCCTTTAATTTGGTACCATAATCAGGGTGCTTATTTTAGAAAGATAGGTCAGAATACTGAGTGCCTATTCTTCTTCTTAATAAAATAAATAGGGGATGGATATAGAATCTGTGAGAGAATGCCTTTGCCATTCCAGTCATTTATATTAATGACGCAGCAGCGTAATCCTTCACTTCGTCAATACCAACCCGTCTCTGGGCACATTAGGTGAAAAACGATGACATTATCAAACCTGAATGAGACATTCTTATAAAGCCAGAGAGTGATTTACCAGGATGGCTCTAAAAACCATTGAGCTGATTCCATCTGCCACCTCAAACTCTCCTTTGTCATTGGGCCTGGTGAAATTGTATTCCCTCCCAGATCCAAACATTCTATGAGAGAAGAAAACATTCGGTTTCAAATTAATTTGTTTTAATATCCCTTTCGATAGCCCTTTAATTTGTAGTGATACAATATTATGCTTTATACCTTCCCAGCATGGTGTTGGGCTGGGCGGTGAAGATGGCCGGGTCCACCAGGAAGCGGGTGTTGTCCACTATCAGAGTGACCCTCTCGGCGGTCCGTAATGTGCGCGTCCCCTCCTTGGCGTTCTCATAGACGTAGAGGAGGTCACAGGGACCGTGCACGTGTCCATGACCCAGACCCTTACAGTGGGCCTCAGTACTGAACAGGCTGCTCCTGCTGCTGCTAGCTGCGATGCAGCTGGGCCCCACGGAGATTAAGGCCCTGGGGGGCCGAGGGCTCGACGACCTGGAGGAAGAACCACCCTCGCCCCGCTCACGATCTGGGAGACACAGACAGGCAGAGTACTGTAGGTAAGGTGCCAACACTGCTGTCTCATCACACTGGATGAAAAGGGACATTGTTAACGATGGTCAAGTAATTGAAAGCTTTTGCAAGAGTCAAAATGGTTTCCTTTCAAGACTCTACTATTCAACTCTAACTGTAGCAATTTAAACATCATTCAGTTCAGTCATTGGCTTAATTCCCTGAGTGGGTACAGACTGAGTAGGAGTAGTATGACTACCGTGGCTCCGCCTCTGGGTGAGGCTTTAAGGCGATTTTTACATAATGAAACCACATTATTTCTGAGAGCTCTGATTCAGCCACTGCTTTTATGTAGTTAGGAAGGGGCTCAATCCAACAGCTGTACCTGAGGCATCTGAGACAGCCTTGTTATGCCAGTGTTGCATCAAGCACCCTGTGTGGTCTCAAAGCAGTAATGGAGTACTCACCACTGTTGTGCTGTCGGGTGGGCGAGGTGATGTTCCTGATGCAAGGGGTCAGCTGACCCTCGCCCCTCTCGTGGGAGTTGTCTCGGGAGCGGTCACTAGACCGCCGGCGGTCACTGTCCCTGCAGCGGTCGAGGCCTCCGCCGGCGCCATGCAGGTTCATGTTGACCAGGTCGGCCTCTAGTTGAGGGACTGGGACGTGGGGCTGGGCACTGAGAGGAGTACACCACACCCACAGTCAGACACACACATGAGCACTGAGGGGGAAAGGGAGCATTTTGCATGCTTCTCTGCAGAGAAGAAGTGGGTAAAAGCCTGCAGTAAACTCATATGAACCCTCTGTGTGAGAGAGAAGAAATAGCAGCGCTGACTGCTGCAGAAAGATGGCCAATACAACACTACTGCTTGCTGCCTGCAGCTGGAGCCCTATACTATGAGAAACCCATTAGGGAGTGAAAGAACACAAATAGGTATATTACTCCTCTTGGAGTGGCATTGGTAAAATATGAAATATTACACTGATGGAGCAGACTATCTGCATGATGTACCAAACACACCTTCTTGAAATCATTTGTAAAAAATACTTCCACAGGGTATAGCACTATTATAACAACTATCATTCATCACAAAAGAGCCTATCTGTAGGGAAACTGGAGAAACTGGTCATCCCATTTACCCAGGCAGAGAGAAGCCAAAAGCATCCACATGAGAGCTGTTATGTTATCTGCGGCAGCCGCTTCACCTCTGAAAGAGCTCTCACACGGTCTGGTCTGTCTAGTCTGGCCAGCGTGCCATGCAGCAGGTCTCCCTAATAAAAAGAGTGCCTCCTTCCCGAGGGAAGTGATTATGAAATATGAGGAGGCTGAAGTGAATGCCCTTAGAGAGAATGGACTGGAGAGAGCAGCACAAAAGAGGCACTCTCAAAGACGGGAGAGCTATATAGAAGCTGCCTTTATGGTCCCTCAAATGGACGACATCCGTCCACCTAGTTCCCCACAGAAAATTCAACCCAGTCAACCGTTAACACAGTCTGACTTAGCCGCTGCCTCCACTGCCACCCTCACTGATGGAGTCCCAGAGATTGAACGAGATGGCTCATTGACTGAGTAGGAGAAATCAGTCATTTCACTACACATGGAGATCAACTTACTTCATTTCAGTACACGGAATGTCGTTAAAAAAAAAAGAAGTATGTGGCAAAATTGGGCTGAATGTCATGTTATTAAATATCTTGTTCATAGTGTTTATGTTTACTGAAACAAATAATTGCTGTCTACATTTTGGCAGCGGCTGAATGGATGCTAATGAACGGTCCAGGACAGGGATGCTCTAATCATACTGTATGCAGGTCAGGGAAAGGCAGGCCTGCCCTACAGTATGTGGGTCCCCTGATCTTTGTGCAGCTTGTCCTCGTTACTGCACCAGCATATAATACTGTACTGCTATGAGACCTTCAGCCATGTAAATAAAAACACTACTGAAACAATGACAGGACTAAATTGACATCCCTCGTGTCCTCACATGACCTGTGGACTTCATAAAATGTATAGGCTCATATGAAATCTCAAAAAGAAAAACTCTTCATTAGAGTTATGACTCATCAGGTTGGGGAATATGATTAAAAGCTTGAATGTAGGATCAGCACTAGCTAGTTATGGAGTGATGCCCCCATTGCACTCAGCAGCAATTCAGGTGAGCAAACATATAGCAGTATCAATCCCTCTTTCTATTCTACCTCTTATCTAGAATATTTTGGCTCCTTTGGCATAACTGCAATTCTGAATATAGAGTAGAATGTCAAACAGGAAAAGTTTGGTGACCAGATTTTTTAATTTATATAACAAATCTTCCCCAAGTGCATGAATAAGGCAAGTAAGGCAGGATCAGCTAACAAAGGGTCAGTGAAAGCCATAGAGCTCATCTCGTCTTTCATGCAGGCAGCAATACAAAGCTATATCATCCACATATCAACTCAATGGCTGCCGCCATTACCTCACATAACCTCTTGGAAAAGGCATTTATTTCCACGAAATGACAACTTTGGATGCAAATTGCAATGTTTAATATTAGTCATTTTAAGACGATTACTATGACTGATAATGGAGACAGAACTCGCAGATGAACTTGTTATAAATAAGCGTCTACAGCATTGAGTCCCGTTACTTAAAGAAAAGGGTCCCATCAATAATTTAGAGCACTGCTCCTATAATATTAAGAGAGAGAATGCGCGCTAGAGTCGGGGTTTTAACCCTCCACAAATGTAAACCCTATTATACGTTCTGATCGGCAAACCCCATGAAACGACACACTTCCTTTTAAAAAGACACGCGTAGTCTTTGTTCTTTTCCCCTTGCCATTCATTAAAACGCGTGGAAAAGCCACAAAAAGCCGATCATTGAAATAAATATTTACAAAAACATAGGGAATCAACATATGCCATAATAAATGCAATGATGCTTCGCACACCTACCCGTCTGTATCGCACGGCAAATTAAAGACAAAGCAGCACGGGATGAGTTGAGGGATGAAAGCACAAAGGACTTGGGCTCCTCCGAACAATGCAGCCTTGCCAGCCGGTTTAGCATCCTTGGGCATTACTTTCGAACTTCAGCATTATTTCGTAGACTCCTGTTCAACTTGCTAGCTGTAAAATTATCTTTCGAAAGCCCCGATAAAAAAATAACAATAAAAAGGGAGCGAGAGGACCAGTCATTCAATTCAGACAGGAGACCCGTAGATATAAATGGCTGTGCGCTTTTTTCCTCGACACTGAGTCAGACACACAGAGCAGCCCTTCTGACGTAGTTCGACCTCCCGGTCTACTGTCCTGATGCTGTCTGACTCGACCGGGGGAGACTATCAGGTCATTAAACCGACTAGCAAAAACCTAAAACTGACCCTTACCTGACCTCATTTTGATAAATTCTGAAATGAAATATCGGTTTGGGCGTCAGGCGTGTCCTTGTATAGCCTTGTCCGACTCGACATTATTGTCTTCAGCAGCATCAAGCAGCATGGCTTGGCTGATGAAATAAAATAGCTGACTTGGGGATAATGAACATGACAAAGCACCAATTGACCTCTGGACTTGACTGTAGATTACAATGCTAATATGTGCTTGAAATGTGTTCTGTTGGTTGATAAAAATAAAAAAATCTAATTTGAGCTAGAGATTCTTATAAATGATGATTGATTCCCCAGATAAGGGCTTTGATTGAGAATCACAGGAGTGTGGATATGTTTTAAGTAGTCCATCCAGAGGTAGGATTACAACCACAGCAACCTGGTCTCAGAGCATTTTGTATGATTCTGTACGTAAATACGGTCACCCCATTTATTCTGAACAAAAATATAAAACGTAATATGTAAAGTCCCATGTTTCATGAGCTGAAATAAAAGTTCCCAGAAATGTACCATACGGACAAAAAGCTTATTTCTCTCAAATTGAGTCTACAAATTTGTTTACCTCCCTGTCAGTGAGCAATTCTCCTTTGCCAAGATAATCCATCCACCTGTCAGGTGTGGCATATCAACAAGCTGATTAAACAGCATGATCATTACACAGGTGCACCTTGTGCTGGGGACAATAAAAGGCCACTAACATGTGCAGTTGTCACACAACACAATGCCCCAGATGTCTCAAATTGAGGGAGTGTGACATTTGGCATGCTGACTGCAGCAATGTCCACCAAAGCTGTTGCCAAATAATTGAATGTTCATTTCTCTACCATAAGCCGCCTCCAACGTCGTTTTAGAGAATTTGGCAGTACATTCAACCGGCCTCACAACCGCAGACCACGTGTAACCACACCAGCCCAGGACCTCCACATCCGGCTTCTTCACCTGCGGGATCGTCTGAGACCAGCCCCCCGGACAGTTGATGAAATTGAGGAGTATTTCTGTCTGATTCAAAGATGTCTGCAGAAAGAATGGGGTGTCAGCTATGATGACACCTTGAGCTTGAAAAAATCTACTTTGGTTATTGAACTACACTAAGTTAAGTGGATTAACACCTGGTAACAGAATGATGGCTATTTTTCTAATGAGCTTCTCCCCCAAACAAGATATTTGGTTGGTCTTGACCAGACCAAATCTGTACCAATCATAGATGTCTATGTTTCACAAGTTCGGACATCACAGTATGGTTCAGTTCAGTACAGTACAGTGCACAGTAAATTATACTGTACTCTAGTGTGCTGTACGGTCCAAACTTGTGAAACAGATGTCTATGATTGGATCAGATTTGGACTGACCAAATTTCAACAACTTTTCAACGTCCATGGACATCCCATGTTGGTCGGCGCTCAGTGGATGAGAGGGCTGGTTACAGTAAATTAAAAAATAGGGGGCTCATGGGTAGGTGTCAGTAAGAGCCGGGAGAGTTGACATTAACTGGAGAAAGAGGGAGAGGGGTTCACCAGACCGTTTTCACACACTTGCTTTGACCACCATGTAAGGTGACAGAAAGAGAAAGAAAACAAGTTTTGAGCTGAACATAACAGTATGCCGGTGGAAGGGAGGACAGTAGCAGGTGACCCAACTGTGGTTTGTGTCTACTATGAATTCCTATTGTAGCCAATTCAGTTGCATTCATTCTGTTACTGAATCTTTGGTCATTCTGTTACCGATTTGGTAAAATAACGACGCATTTAACATCACCTATTGTGGATCTTTCCCTTTCAAGATGACTTGATACGTATCTATTCTAGATGCATGGGCTCCGATACAGAAACAAACACATTCATAAATAAAAACACATTCATAGATATGTCATACTTCCGGAATGCAAGTCAATTTCTGAAACAAAACACATTTTACTTATTTCACATTTTGTTGTGTTACAGCCTGAACTCAACTGGATTAAATAGATTCCCCCCCATCTACACACAATACCTCATAATGACAAAGTGAAAATATGTTTAGACATTCTTGCAAATTTTTTGAAAATGAAATACAGAAATATCTCATTTACATAAAGTACTCAGACCCCTGAGTCAATACTTTGTAGAAGCACCTTTGGCAGCGATTACAGCTGTGAGTCTTTCTGAGTAAAGCCTTGTTCACATTACCCATAAGCACTCTGCCGGATGTCATACATTTCAATGGGGATGTCCACAACGGAGTGGAAACGCAACGCCCGCTTGCGGTTGAAGGCTCCGTTGCGAGACGGACGGCGCATACTTTGACAACTTTGCGTCGTCTTCAGTCCAGCCAGAGAAGATGAAAATGTGGTTTTCAGTAATGGCTTTATGGCAACTGATGCAGTGCAAGCTAGCTTGACTTGCTATAAAGTTAGAGAAACAAGTTGAGGAAAAAATGATTTAACAAAACATGTTTTATGATCACCCGAAACAATATATTTATCCTGTCTTGAACGACTCCTCAAATCCTAAGATTCAGTAATTTTGCAATGGAGGAGTAGTTGCCATAGGCTACTTCCGAAAAAACAAACTCTTGCATCTTTCACAGCAAAGAAAGAGCAAGCTAGTGAGGGAGGGGAGGGAGGGGGGCACAGCCAGGCAGACCGAGTCAGAACCGTGCATCCATAATGAATAGCTGTAGGCCTTTATCGCAATGCTGTTTCTCACAACTTTGAGGCTTGCAATGTCTCGCAAATTCACTAAAGTAGAGGCTCTCAATGAGTAGGCTGAGCTATTCTACACACCACTGACCAAAGACTGAACACACACATCTTTCCTTGAGAAGAGAAAGAGCAGGCAAGCCAGCGAGGGAGTGAGAGGAGGGGCAGGCAGACAGTCGGAACCGTGCACATAGTCTATATCTTGGTAATCTATATCGCAATGTCTTGTCTTGCAATGCCAAGTAAATTCACCAAAAGTATATTAAAGTATAGATTAGGCTATCACTGAGTATGGCTACGCTATTTTACATAGTGCCAGTAAATTGAAGTTCAACATCGCCAAATGAGTTAGTTTAATTAGGCCTAAATGTGCAATAAAAAGTAAGCCTATTGCACCTCTAGCTTATTTAAATGAAACCATGGCTGGCTGCTAATGTCCTAGGCAATAGTTCGCAAAACAGTGCATCGCCGATAACCTTTTTGTAAATGGCAAGTTCACTTTCTTATCCATAAAAGCATCAAGCGCAAATACTGTTCAGCAGCTCAAATCAGGACGACAGGGGGGCATTTTTATTAGGAAGGACATCTACCATGGAGCGCTAGAATAATGACACTTCCTCAATTTAAATATTATGGGAACACTTATAAATTTGGCAGCCAAGCACGAGATATCAGTGTAGCCTACTATTGTCTAGACATGACGTTGAAATATCTTCACACCTCGAATATAAACCTCCAGGTTTCCGGCATAAAAATAAAAATTACCAGTGGGCAGTTTGGAAACACTAATCCTTTGTGAATCGTCCTCTGGAATAACGCACATGCTTGGATAATTACATAACCAACGTCTCTAGTAATACTAGTTCAGTCCAATAGGGCTATATAAACACGGCAAATAATAGGCTTATAAGCGTAGAGTGCGCCACATGATCCCATGGGATCTGTCAAAGCGGCGCACAGCAGAAATATCACTGAAATATTATAGTTCCTACACATCTACGTTCAAACAAAATAGGCCTTTTATAGGCTAAGTTGATGAGCAAATGCAAAGCTTCATGTTCATGCCAGTCCTCTCTAGAACGCAATATTTGTCTTCCTAGTAGGACTCTGCAATAATGAGATGGTGTGTACGTGTGCACAGCACTTTCAATGTGTTTTGGGCGTCGAGCAAGAGTCGCCTGTGCTCAGCTCCATTTGGTTCATTTTTTACTCCTGAAAAACTCCCCAGTCCTTAACGATTACAAATATACCCATCACCTGATGCAGCCACCACTATGCTTGAAAATATGGAGCGTGGTACTCAGTAATGTGTTGCATTTGCCCCAAACATAACACTTTGTATTCAGGACAAAAAGTGAATTGCTTCGTCACATTTGTTGCAGTATTACTTTAGTGCCTTATTGCAAACAGGAAGCATGTTTTGGAATATTTGTATTCCTTTTCACTCAATTAGGTTAGAATTGTGGCGTAACTACAATGTTGTTGAGCCATCCTCAGTTTTCTCCTATCACAGCCATTAAACTCTGTTTTAAAGTCACTATTGGCCTCACGGTGAAATCCCTGAGCTGCCTCTCCAGAAACTGAGTTAGGAAGGACGCCTGTATCTTTGTAGTGACAGGGTGTATTGATACACCATCCAAAGTGTAATTAATAACTTCACCATGCTCAAAGAGATATTCAATATCTGCTTTTTTCTATTTTTACCCATCTACCAATAGGTGCCCTTCTTTGTGAGGCATTGGAAAACCTCCTTGGTCTTTGTGGTTGAATCTGTGTTTGAAATTAACTGCTCGACTGAGGGACCTTGATTTTTTTTATATTTTTTAACCTTTATTTAACTAGGCAGTTAAGAACAAATTCTTATTTACAATGACGGCCTACACCGGCCAAACCCGGACGACGCTGGGCCAATTGTGCGCCCAATCACTGCCGGTTGTGATACAGCCTGGAATCGAACCAGGGGGTCTGTAGTGACGCATCAAGCACTGAGATGCAGTGCCTTAGACCGCTGCGCCACTCGGGAGCCCAGATAATTGTATGTGTGGTAAAGAGATGAGGTTTTCATTCAAAAATCATGTTAAACACTATTATTGCACACAGAGTGAGTCCATGCAACTTATTATGTGACTTGTTATGTAAATCTTTACTCCTGAACTTATTTAGTCTTGCCATAACAAAGAGGTTGAATACTTATTGACTCAAGACATTTCCTTTTTTCCTTTTTAATTAAAAGTTGTAAAAATGTTATCAACTTTTAATTTAAGCTGTATCAACAAAATGTGTAAAAAGTCAAGGGGTGTGAATACTTTCTGAAGGCACTGTATATAAAATGGTACTGGACAGTTGTCTTGAATGCTGAACAATCAAGAACAATCAAGCACATTCAGGAGTCCTTCTACTGTAGCTCAGTTGTTAGAGCATGGCGCTTGCAACGCCAGGGTTGTGGGTTCGATTCCCACGGTGGCCAGTATGAAAAATGTATGCACTCACTAACTGTAAGTAGCTCTGGATAAGAGCGTCTGCTAAATGACTAAAATGTAAAAAAAACAATTCTGTGTTCTACAATTCTTTCTGTAAGTAACAATACAGTACTCTTCCCTAATGAGTGCTAGTTTATCACCTTGAGTGTCTGTGAAGATTACTTTCCCAGTTCTCAGTGTCGCTTGAGTTGTCATCTAAATGTGGACTTTCAGCCATCACAGGTAAGTAGTTAGGGAATCTGCCACCATCAGCACTCATGACGTCCTGTTAATACAAAACATACACATTTGTTGTTCTCTTCACATTTGTTGAATAAATTTTAACGGAATGCTAGATAACAACAACCAAAGCCTTCTCTTGGCAAACGTAACAAACTTACTCTCCATCTAGCCAAGTAAGGCTTCACTAAAAATAACAGGCTTGCTAGTAGTACCACCACCAAGCTAGCTAGATGGGGCCATTGTTTGTTAGCTAGCTAGCTAAGTTAGTTAGCTAGACATGCGATAACTTGAGTAAAGGTAGCTAATTTATTGACCAACTTGGTAACTGAAAACATTTATGTGAAATGGCTAGCTAGACTGAACCTCTTAGATGTAAAGTCCCCTGTTTAGCGGACCTGCGTGGTTCTGGTACCGGTTCTGACCAACATTTTAGCTTATAAATCAATCTGTACAAAACGTAGATCGAAATAGCTAGCATTGAGCGATAGCCCTGGTTCCCATGGACACAGAGTATATTTTTCTGAGCCTGTGTGATGTAGGATGTGAAATCTAAAGCTACTTGAAGCTGGCATGTCCTTCTCCTGGCTGAACCCTACGTCACAGCCACTGACAAAGCACATGCCTGCAATCGTTAAATCGTAGCACAGCAGGAGAGAGTGGTGTCATCACTGTAAAACATTCAGAGATGGATTTATAGCCATTAATCTAAAATAAATAATAGATTTTAAACAAAAAAAACACTGTCATAGACGGACAAGATTAATACGGGATTAAAGGTGAGTTCCTGACGAGTTCAGGAAGCCAAGCTAGAGCTCTGAGACATTCACAGCGATGGGGGCAGACGTTTTGGATCAAGAGAGACCTGTAGAACATATGCACATTTTCTCTAACAATAAAAACAGAAATATGTATTTTACAGTTAAGGAAGTTAAATATTATACAGTGCCTTCGGAAAGTATTCAGAACCCTTGACTTTTTCCACTTTGTTTCGTTAAAGCCTTATTCTAAAAGTGATTAAATTGTTATTTTTCCTCATCAATCTACACACACTACCCCATAGACAAAGCAAAAATAGGTTTTTAGAAATGTTTGCTAATTTATTAAAAATAAAAAACGGAAATGTCACTGTTACATAAGTATTCAGACCCTTTACTCAGTACTTTGTTGAAGCACCTTTGGCAGTGATTACAGCATTGAGTCTTCTTTGGTACACCTGTATTTGACGAGTTTCTCCCATTCTGCTCTGCAGATCCTCTCAAGCTCTGTCAGGTTGGATGGGGAGCGTCGCTGCACAGCTATTTTCAGGTCTCTCCAGAGAAGTTCGATTGGGTTCAAGTCCGGGCTCTGGCTGGGCCACTCAAGGACATTCAGAGACTTGTCCCGAAACCACTCTTGCGTTGTCTTGGCTGTGTGCGTAGGGTCGATGTCCTGTTGGAAGGTGAACCTTCGCCCCAGTCTGAGGTCCTGAGCGCACTGGAGCAGGTTTTCATCAAAGATTTCTCCGTTCATCTTTCCCTCGATCCTGACTAGTCTCCCAGTGCCTGCCACCACCATGCTTTACCGTAGGGATGGTGCCAGGTTTCCTCCAGATGTGACCCTTGGCAATCAGGCCAAAGAGTTCAATCTTGTTTTCTTCAGACCAGAGAATCTTGTTTCTCATGGTCTGAGAGTCTTTAGGTGCCTTTTGGCAAACTTCAAGCTGGCTGTCATGTGCCTTTTACTGAGGAGTGGCTTCCGTCTGGCCACTCTACCATAAAGGCCTGATTGGTGGATATGGTTGTCCTTCTGGAAGTTTCTCCCATCTCCACAGAGGAAGTCTAGAGCTCTGTCAGAGTGACCATCAGGTTCTTGGTCACTCCCCCCGATTGCTCAGTTTGACCGGGCAGCCAGCTCTAGGAAGAGTCTTGGTGGTTCCAAACTTCTTCCATTTAATAATGATGGAGGCCATAGTGTTCTTGGGGACCTTCATAATGCAGACATTTTTTGGTACTCTTCCCCAGATCTGTGCCTCGACACAATCCTGTCACGGAGCTCTCCGGACAATTCCTTCGACCTCATGGCTTGGTTTTTCTAAAAACCTGTTTTCGCTTTGTCATTATGGGGTACTGTGTGTAGATTGCTGAGGATTTGTAATTATTTTAAACCATTTTAGAATAAGGCTGTAACGTAACAAAATGTGGAAAAAGTCTAGGGGTCTGAATACTTTCCGAAGGCACTGTAGTTAGTCGTTTTATAATTTTATTATATTATATTTTGAAAGCATATAAATTATTTCACGCCTTATTCATACAGTTTGTTGAATAGGAAATATATAAAATATTCCATATTTTTATCACATTTGTATTGTGTACTTGAGTTTCTGTCCTCAAAAGTGAAGTCTCCTACACCTCAGCAATTTATAACTATTTTTTACCAGAAAGGTGAGATTTTAACTTTTCTTTGAGTACGCAGCATTACTAGTTATTGTTTATGGCCCTCTCATGATAAATAAATCATTTTGGGGATTAAGTAGATTACATTTTTGATTACATTTAAGTGGTTTAAACTAGCGGTTGGCTAGCTAGTTAGCCAAGCAACCTTTAACGTTACCTGGCTAAATTAATAATAGAGTACCACAGTATGAGTCATAATACCCATAAAACCTAGTGGTCAAACACGGAAATGGTTCCAATCGTTTTTCCACCATTCATTTTTCCCATAGAGGATTTTAGAAACACTTCAAATAAGGGCTGTGCTTCGTGTAGACTTACCCTGGTGTGACGTTTTGCTAACAGTGTAAATTCCTCTCGGACAAGGTGACTTATCAATATATTCGCCTGTATTTACCCCCCAAAATGAAATGCTAATTAGCTGCTAATGTGGCTATCATACAGAACTAGAAATGCCTGTCTCAAGCTTCACATCACTCACCAGGGCCATGATGATCTGGACGAGACTGACATCAAGGCAAAGCTAAGAATCTCTGGATAAACTAATATTAACTAAATTTTGTAATGAATAAATTGACTGTTTTGTGAACTGTCTGGGCAAGTTTAGTTAGTTAGCCATTTTTCTAGCCTAGTGATGCAAATTTCGGTCAGTTTTGCTGCCGACTAACTGACCCTCATTAACCGGTCAACAAACGGTTAAATTTTTCCCAAACAGTAAAATGACGTGACCAACAGAAAATACTATTAGAGATCTGTATATGTGACTTGTTTCAGGAAATTAGGCATATGTCGCGCGTCACTACTTCACAGGAGAGGCATTTGAATGTAAAATATATATTTTTTTTTTAATCAAAATTAATTTTTTGGCAGAAATGCCTTCTGGAACGTGAACTTTCATGTGCCTTAATAACAAACTTGTATGCCATCTGTAAATACAAATAAAACTGTTAAAATTACGAGCCTAGTTGGTTTAGCCACGAAAAAGACAGGACCTTCCCGCTAGCCATGATCGGCTGAGATAATGGATGAGCTGGAAATACCGAGAGATGAGTTCGGATTGGTCTGCCATGTAGCACGCTTCTGTCTATAACATGAGCTGGTCAGTATGTGTAGGTATTCCTTTCAAAAAAACACAGCTTTTTTGAGAGATATCACATAGTTGAACTGCAAAAGTGTTGCTCTCCACTTTCTGGAGGACTGAGTTTTGAAATCAGTGGAATGCCCGGTGGAATTAGAGTATGATAGCTAAGGAGATGGAGACAATTCTGGAGTTTGATTGTAAATATGCAGAGGGAGTCGAAAAGTGAACACACAGAAGGCTCTTGTATAAAACACCTGTCTCCGGATTACATCTTAAAACTAAGTGCAACCATGGCATCCGTGAGAGAGGGAGAAGCGTCCATCCATGTATATGGGTAAGATAGTCTAGCTAGCTACATTTTCAGATATTATACATTTCAAATTTTGTCCGAAAGTTGTTTTCATTTCAAGTTAAAGTGTACTGTTAGCTAGCTACTGTTAGCTGGCTCGCTAGCTAACGTTACGTGTATGATCTGCGTAGTAATATTATTTGTATCTCAGGGCCATTTGCATTGCTAGTTATAGCCTAATGCTGGCTAGCTAACATTTAACCTGGTTGGTTAGCTACCTGCAGATTCATGCAGGGTAGTAACATTATGAGTTGGGATTATGGTTCATCGTTTAGCTAGCTAGCTAACAAGAGACTCCACTATGTGTAGTGAAAGTAACCATTTCACTACACCTTCTGTATCCTGTGCATGTGACAAATAAATGTTGATTTTATTTGATATAGTATGTGTTTACCAGATGGTAATGTGAAGAACATGACCTGCACCAAAGTCAAATTAGGATATAACGTTAGGCCAACGAGAGTGTCCAAGTTCAAAAATTCTCTGGTAGAATGCCCTGCTTTTATTTTGTCATTTCGTCATTTCTTATAATAATGAAGAGTAATGAGCTAAAGTGAAGACGGTGTCATCTTAAGATATGGTCATTATCTGAACTGGCTAGCCAGCTAACTTAACATTAGCTAGCTAGCTAGCTAGAAATGAACCAAAACATTGTTTAGAAATTGCTTTTAGTTGCCTGGTTTAAAAAACACATACTAAACTCATTTTTAAAACGGGTGGGTTTATTGATGATAAAATAGACTAGTTATGCTATTTTGGAGTACCAGGCTGCTGATGTCATGCAGCCTGTAGTTTTTGTGTTTATACTTTTTCATAACGACATAACGAATAGAATGTCACTGCGACAAAGTGGTGGGTGACACGCTGATAGCCAACGGAAGACAGGCTATAGCCTATACACCCGAATGGCGAATGGGAGGTGCGCTTTAATTACGAGTTGAGATTGAGAAATAAAAATAGCTCCTTTTACTCGTGGCCACCAAAGTTTTTAACATACAATTGCATTTAGAATTGTTATTTGTTGCACAATGACTGGGCTTACAAAAGCAAGTTTCACTCCAGTAGACTAGACTTTATGAGCTACTCTCGCGCTGTCTGACAGGTTGTAGGCTATTCCGATCCTCAACCTAGGCTCTGTATACTGCGCGTGTGATAAATAAGATGCCTGACAACTAACGAAAATACACACGTGCCAATTTAATTGCACACAATTATGCAAATTACCCTATAGATCGATAAGCATTACTGGTAAAATGTATTTTCGGCAGCTAAACGATTAACGTTTAAAAATTAACATCCAAAGTCTAGCTATTTAAATGCATGAGAATTTCATAAAAACTAGTTTAGCTTTCTTTGGCTTTTATAAACCAACAGTCTAGCTTGCTAGTTAACTAGCTAACTTAGATGGTGAAGCTAGGTGTTCTTGATGTTTGTTTGCGTCTGAAGGGTTGGTAGCCTACTTCAAGCACTACTTGACTTGTAGCTACCTGTATTATTTTGGTCTGGCTTTTTGAGAGGTTTCAGAGATGGACTGATTAGCATTCGAGTCAACAGTGTGCATTCTTTACTGCAGGAAGACATTGATCCGTTTGCTGTTACCTTCTGGACAGCAGATCATTAGTATAGCTAGTAGGCAAGATGATGTAACCTTATTTAATCCTACCTGCCATGGTGAGTTTTAAATTAACTGGTATTCACACATTTATTTTTTAGGTAGAATTACGGTCATGTAATTGCTGCCAAATTGCAAACCTTATTTGCACTTTCTCTATTCCAGCACCAATGGGCGTGCCTGAGTTATCACCTGTCAACTAGCCACATCGATGTGTGTGCATCATTTTCATGACATTGTCAGCCAACCCGTCTATAGTTTGCAGAATTTATAAGGGATTAAATGTAGACCTCCACCGGCTGAAGGAGAAGAGGATCTGGTAAAATAAGGGTATGTTGCTAATAATATCTAACGTTAGGTAGCTATCTAGCTTCTTTGCAAAGAACTAGCCTAGTATTCATGGCACGTAAATATCTAACTGCTACTAGGATAGTATTCTGTATAAGACAATTCCAAATGCAATAATAAGCCAACAAATGTTAGTTAACTAAAATATGGAACAGTAAATGAAAATGTTCAATATATCTTCCATTTTGGATCAAGGTTGCTAGTAGCTAGCTAGCTGACTACAAAGGTGTCAGATAGAGACGAAGTGCAGGAGCTTGCAGGGATTTGTAGTCTTGTTAGCCCAATATTCGACTAAAGGAACATAATGTTACTCCTTTGTCCAAGTTACATGTCCTTTTTAAAGGGCAAATTGGCTCTGGAAGCCAAAACAGCCAAATACTACATCTAATTCAACGGCTCAGACACGAGACATTTATGTGGCAGGGTATACAGACAATCACGGACTACAAAGGGAAAACTAGCCATGTTGCGGACACAATTGTCTTGCTTCCGGACAAGCTAAACACCGTCGTCCGCTTTGAGGATAACACAGTGCCACCGACGCGGCCCACTACCAAGGTCTGTGGGCTCTCCTTCTCCATGGCCGACGTAAGACATTTAAGCGTGTTAACCCTCGCAAGGCTGCCGGCCCAGACGGCATCCCTAGCCAAGTCCTCAGAGCATGCGCAGACCAGCTGGCTGGAGTGTTTACAGACATATTCAATCTCTCCCTATCCCAGTCTGCTGTCCCCACTTGCTTCAAGATGTCCACCATCGTTCCTGTACCCAAGAAAGCAAATGTAACTGAACTAAATGACTATCACCCCGTAGCACTCACTTCTGTCATGAGAGGCTAGTTAAGGATCATATCACCTCTACCTTACCTGACACCCTAGACCCACTCCAATTTGCTTACCGCCCCAATAGATCCACAGACGATGCAATCGCCATCACACTGCACACTGCCCTATCCCATCTGGACAAGAGGAATACCAATGTAAGAATGCTGTTCATTGACTATAGCTCAGCATTCAACACCATAGTACCCTCCAAGCTCATCATTAAGCTCGGGGCCAGAGGCTGAAGAAATGTATCTTGGCATCTAAAACCCTCAAACTTTTACAGATGCACAATTGAGAACATCCTGTCAGGCTGTATCACCGCCTGGTACAGCAACTGCACCGCCCGAACCACAGGGCTCTCCAGAGGGTGGTGCGGTCTGCCCAACGCATCACCGGGGGCAAACTACCTGCCCTCCAGGACAGGAAGGCCAAAAAGATCATCAAGGACAACCACCACCCGAGCCACTGCCTGTTCACCCCGCTATCATCCAGAAGGCGAGGTCAGTACAGGTGCATCACAAGCATTTCGCTACACCCGCAATAACGTCTGCTAAACATGTGTATGTGACCAATAAAAATTGACTTGATTTGATAAACGTGAATCGATTCTGACTCGTGGTACGGTTCTAGAAACATACATCCCTCTACTTTCATATCACATCAAAATAATTTCACTAATGCAAAATACACACTGTTTTAACTGGTTTTAACACAGTTGCAGCCAACAGTTTTTTTCAGTGACAACAAGTTTGTGGCGTCTGTCTTCCATTTACACACAGGTGTTCGGAGAAGCAAGATAGCTATTTGGCACAGATAGTACACTTGAGCTTTGTTCGAATACTAATACTAAACCTACTATTTGTGACATAAATTGAGTATCTGTGCTTATTGGTCATAGTATAGATATAGTGAGTATGCCAAAAGTTCCCGGATGTCGTACTAAATTCGCCAAAATACGAAGTATACAAGCAGTGGACACTATTTCCGTGCTTTTAGGGACCATAATACAATTCTTCAGAAAATGGGCGTGGCTTCACAACGTTTTCAGATTTCAAGAAAATGGCGGAAAATATGCAGCCGAAGTCCGACGAGAGTGGATACAATTTCATTGCTTTAACTAATTATGACAAATGTTAAGAAAAAGTGAGCAATGTAATAAAGTAATGACTTTTCAAATAAGTTACGTTGGCTGACAATTTGTTAGCTACGCTATCCTTACGAACCACAGCTTATCATTACAGCTGTATGCACCGGTATGTTAGCTAGCTACCTAACTTTAGTTGGCTACTAATACATCGAACTTGCCAGTATATTAACTATATGTAATTCTTAGCTTAGCTAAGTGGTATAGTCGTTGTGCGTTCTCAATGGTCATTGTTAATTCACTCTGGCTATCTACTCCAATTTCAGAGCACTCTTGTCTGGGTGTGCCAGAGAGCAGAATAACTGATGAATTTACAAATGCTCAACACCTGTTGAATATGGCCAGTGTCAGTAAACGTTGGCAAAAAAAGCATTATTAAATTGTTGCCAGCAGCATAGTTCGTCACCAACGCTCTGGATAACATGAAAACAGTCTAACCAGCTCTGCTAGGGCGAGTAAAATGGTCAGAGTGAGGTGTTCTTCTTCTTCTTCGATGAGGTTTAATGGTGGTTGGCATCCAATTTGTTGCATTACCGCCACCTACTAGACTGGAGTACAACTCCCTTATATTTTGCTTGAAAAATAAAATAAATACCCTACCATCAAACACTACACTCACAAAAAAAAAAAAAGTATTAATAATTAACACCACCCTACTCCACTATTTAAATATATTCATTCCTACCTCATGCCCTCAACCTGAACTGATGGGAACATCACCACTTAACACTCCCTGTAACCCTTCTGATGTCAAGTCTCGCAAACCCAAATACCTCTCTGCAGCTGCCACCACAACCTCAATTTTCTTCGACTTACGTTCCATCCCTGCAGTACAATTAATAACCATTGCTATAAATGCTAAAAATCCAATGTTACTGAAACATATATAACTTGTTGGCCTATCCCTCTGTACTGGTACATACCTACTACATAGTGAGGTGTTCTCTCATTTGTGTCTGGAAGTAGCTAGCAAGCTAGCCAACGTTAGCCAGTTAGCTTGGGTGCTTGACTGCCGTTGTGAGGTCAGAACGCTCGGATCAACCACGAGAACGAAACCCTCTGAATTTACGAACAGACAATCTCACAACGCTCTGAATTTACAAACGCCCAGAGCGCACTCCAGATTGAATTTACGGAGACACCCGAAGTGGTAAAATGTCTACCTAGTAATTTGTTATGATAACAAGCTAACAAGAGGTTGCATAGCAACAGTATCAACTTCCGGGAGACAGGCGAAGCGCTAGTATGCTCAACTGAAAGGATACCATTCGTATACTAAAATGAACTAATAGTATATACTCATTAAGTATGTAGTATACAGCATGTTAGTATGGGTATTCAAAGACAGCTTCGGTAACATGGAAATATGGCCATGTGGGAACCCTAACCCTATAAAATAAAAAGTATGTATCAATTTAACCTTTTATTTATTTATTTTTATTTCTCGCCTATATGAAAGATAAGGTCATTTTGCTTCCAAAACCGTACCGCAAGCGATGCGTGTTAATGTTCAGACCGAGCGTCGTGGCTCTTAACAAAACTCCCCCGCTACAAGACGCCTTCGTCCAATGACTCGTGTAATTGAGCTGAGAGTCCTGATCAAGGGCTATACGTTAGTCTTGTATGATGTCTACTTTTGATTCCAATTAGCATTTTCGAATCTGAGAGTAAATAAAGCCGAATATATTGATAAGTCACCTTGTCCGAGATTGATAACCGTGTAAATCTAAACGTCACGCTAGGGAAAGCCTAGCGACATGAAAAACAAACAGACCTTGTTTGAAGTGTTTCTAAAATCCCCATATTAATTGTGAAAAAAACGATTGGAACAATGTCCGTGTTTGACCGCTAGGTTATGACTCCTTATGACTCGTGCTAGCAAGCGATGAAGAATACCGTTTTGAGGGTTTAGACAAACATAAAAAACTGCTAGCTCGCTATCAAACAAAATGTTAACCAGTAAACTTGTAGCTAGCGTTAGTTGACAGGATAAAATAATGCTCACGTTAGCTAAATCACTTTAGTTCGCTGAAGTAGCCGGTTAGCTAACTATAGCATGACGCTCCTTACCTCTTGGGATTCATTGTTGTCTGAGTTTTATCCTAAAGTGAAAGTAAACAAATTCCTAATAAATATTTTTGCTAGATTGGTGACCGACTGCTTAAAGTAATAGTGACAGACATTTCCCCCAAACAGTCACTAAATAAGGGCAAACCGCTAAATGTAATCCCTTGTTTTGACTGCTGAACAACGAATGTGATAGATCGCGAGACCAAATAACTGGCTTGTTCACGAGGGTCGGAATTGCTACGCGCTGCGCAATCTGCAGTCTAAAAAAACACATCAAGCCCACAAACATTTAGGAAATTAAATATTTGTATTAATTGATATATGTGTATATAACGGTTATATATCAATGTCTATGTTCATATAGGCTACTAATTATAATGAGCGAATATGCAGCCACTGTGTACATTGACTCCCGTGAACAACCTCTGAGGCGGTAACAGTTATTGAGCTAACATCAGCAACCAATCACCCTCCTCTGAGGTGTAATTATCTATTATACCTCAGTGGTAATGATACAGTAACCTTCCAATTTCGGAAACATCAGGATTGAAACATTAGGTAGAAATATAAACTTGGTAGGTTAACATGTAGGCATATCAACGTTTCATAGGCTATTCAGCCGTTTAAAAGCCAGTAACTGCAAATAAAAATTGAAGATTCACTTAATTGTTTATTGCTTAACATACAGTATATAGCTATTGTGATTATGATGTTTTATTTACAACAATCAATTACATTGCGGCACTTTGGAGTTGGTTGATATAAAAAATATAAGTCGCTACATTCTACAGTTAAAGTGCATAAATATTTTTCTGTTATGTAACTGTAATGATCCCTATTCCTAATTAGGCCTACTGCATATAAGTATCCATGCACAAGTTACACTATTTACTAGTTATTTCTACATACTAACCCAGCTTTACACCACATATCAAAATACCATGGCACTAATAGAACACGAAAATACAGACATAGTTTTGTCTTTGTGGACAACACATTATCATCAAGTTAATAATTAATCATCATCAAGTTAATAAACAATTGTATAACACTTACTTTCTCCAGATAATAAAAACAATGTTTTGGTCCTAAACAGTATTTGCCCTTCCTTTTTATTTGGTTATGATAAATAAATAGCTTGAACTACTTAATAATAAATAAAAGTGCTTTAAGCTAAAACTATGGAAGCTTAGCCTCCTCACAATTTGATTACTGCATTACCATTTTAAAATCGCATGCCCTATAAATAAATTAGAGTTGTTCCAATAAAACAGAAAAACTATAAAAGTCATGAATAGAATGAAGTGTCAAACGTGGTAGCCTACAGTCCAGACTGCAAAAATATAATTTCACTGAGAGTTGAGGAGCTTCTCCAAAATGTTTAAAATGTATTCAACTTCGTTTGGCGTTAACTCCTCCAAATCCAGGAGATCCTCGGGAAGAAGCCTTCTGGTTCTCACTTTCTCCCCCTTCTCTGCATTTCGGAGCGAGGCTGTATGGATGTCCCTCAGCTTCATTTGGAGCCAGTCTTGCCTATCCTGCACGTGCTTGTGTTCCCCAAGGTTGTGCATTAGTTGTACTTCACTAACGGATCTCTTTCTGTAGGAAACAATAAATACTACGTTAGATGTCTTATTTTAAACAGGACATTATTATCATTTGCAAGTAGGCTATATTAGTATCCTGTCATATCCAATCATATTACAATACAATATCATATAGCATAAAACAAAGTTATTCCATAAAGTTATTTCAAGTTCATATAGGGTTCAAGCCTACGCCATTGGTCGTCCTTCAGATTGCGTTGAATAGTATAAAATGCAGAGTGATATGAGTACCACTTTTACGTCCAAACCTCTGATGGGAAACATTTTGATAACCTGTCAAAGTAAGAAAATAGTTCAGAACATAAACCCATATATGTAATACATGTGTTTGATAAGCTAAAATGTTTAACTCCAAATAAAGTTAAATAAAACTACATGTGTTGGATAAGCAACCATTTTTACTACAAATAAAGTTAAATAGGCTATATAATTAAACTTAGAACATGGGATGCCATGTAGACAAAATAATGACAAAGTTGATGAAGTTCAACTTGCCTCTTGTGCGATAGGCTTCTCTCTGGAAAGTTGTGATGTGGAGTGCAGGGGTGTAAACCCGGTTTGTAGATCAGTCTATCTGTTATGATTAGGGTAAGTTTCCCAAAGTTCCTTTTATAGCCCTCTGCCCATTGATGAGCCGCCTTCATTATTAGTGCTGATGTCACCCCTTGCCTTGATGGGGATAGGCATGCGCATGAAAACACCTCCGCAAATCCGAGCTTTCAGCACCTATGCCCGGGGTTAACTCGTGCTGCATTTGAAACTCTGCGCTACTGGGGATAACCAATTTTCAATAGCAAATATTTATAATTGACTACATGGATCAGCCTTTCACAGTTAATGTTTCGTTACTGACATAGGCCTATTGCAACTTTTGGGTGGATACCTATTATACATGTTTATATTAAATTGGCTTTGTCAAATTGTGTTTAGCCTAAAGTATATATTTATATTGTATAGCTTATAAAGTAGGCTATACATTTATTGTATATTGCATTAAGTACAGTACCAGTCAAAGGTTTGGACACACCTACTCATTCAAGGGTTTTTCTTTATTTTTACTATTTTCTACATTATATAATACTAGTGAAGACATCAAAACTATGAAATAACACATAGTAACCAAAAAAGTGTTAAACAAATCAAAATATATTTTAGATTTTAGATTCTTCAATGTAGCCACCCTTTGCCTTGATGACAGCTTTGCACACTCTTGGCATTCTCTCAACCAGCTTCATGAGGTAGTCACCTGGAATGCATTTCACTTAACAGGTGTGCCTTGTTAAAAGTTAAATTGTGGAATTTATTTCCTTCTTAATGCGTTTGAGCCAATCAGTTGTGTTGTGAATAGGTAGGGGTGGTATACAGAAGACAACCAAGCTGACATTCCATGTGACAACCATCCCCAACCAATCCCCAACCAACCCCTAATTCATGACTTAACTCAGAGACATCATTGCAGTGTTAATGATTCAAATATGGCTCGGATGAAAACATAAACCATAAAGCCTAATAAAATGTTTCATGTTATATTTTAATTTCTTATTTTGTAATGCAAGTTCACTCAAATGTAGGCCTACACACCTTGTTGATTCAACAGCTTTGCCTTATATGTCCAATATTCTGTAAGTCATGATAAATAAATACTAGTAATTCATAAAAGTGGTTGAAAAATAATCTTCAAAGGCTAGTCTATCATATGCATTACAAACCTGCAGAAACATTTTAAGAAGACCTCCCACACCCACCCTCTCTGTCCCGTAATTTATGTGCAGTGTCAACTCCCTAACCAGTATCAACTCTAGGCCCCCACCATCTTCCAGATGTATGGACAGAAGAAACCCCATTGGTCTTCATCAATCCAACTGATGAGCCACACAGCAGCTCTATTGACACGTTACGCAATATAATAGTATTAAGTCATTATAGCCAGATATCAAATCTCTCCCTTTCTGATGCCCCGGAGTCGAGATATCCTGCTGTAGCTACAGGTGTTTAGGATGATCCTTGGGACACGAGCGACCCTGTCCTACTTTTATGGGCGCTGGGCGCGCAATTACACATTAGGTAACCATGAGGGAATCTTTCTAAATGTGGAAGAGGAATGGCTATGTCATGACACAGAGAATACATCCCAGAGAGGAACCAAACAGGTCCGACCTATAGATCTTCCCTCGTGGACTGGTTAAGGTTTCTGTCAAGGCTGCAGGCATGCATTCCCCCAAAAAGAACATGCCGACAGAGAGCAGGCAGTCCATGGCGTTATGCGAGGACATAAGCAACTTTCAGCTGCTTCTGGGCAAAGAACATAAGATTTGATATTCACTATGGTGGAGAAACAATGCAGCTTGGGTGTTGGAAAGTTCTGGAATATATTTGAAGGTGCATTTTGATGCATTCTGGTGCAATTTGGTTCATGCATAGTTGCACATGTCTCAAGCAAGTTTAATGCACTCGTCCTTTTAAGAAAATTCTAATCCCTTTATTAGATTGGCATATCCATTTTAGTGAGTGACTTTATTGTTGACCAAATCAATGTCCTGAACTGCTAATATTGATAATGATGCTCCGAGACTGTTTTTCATTTACTATCTAATCCTCCTATAAAACAAACTTCACAGGTGGTGGGCAATTAAAGTTGTTTACATACCAGTTCAACAAGATTTATGGCCAAGCTGACATGCACGTTAAAGATGTTGCCCTCTTACTGGTTTCTCTTGATACTATTATGGACTGCAGCAGGCATGTTTAGATGACACCCACCAAACAAAATGACCTTTGAACTTAGCATGAGATCCTAATCCATGTAGTTCTCATTACCTCATGCTGGCTCAATGCAAGCCATGTCACCGGTGGTATGTGACAGCATTGGGGTGCATGGACATTCTACCGGGATTAAAGAGAAGGTATTGCTAACAACATCTATCCATACAACAATGACAATCATGACTAGCAGGCACTTACTTATTAATAATTCAGTCAATACAGTAAATAAAATCAGTAAGTAGCGCAGCAGTACTATTCGTGGGTTTCCTTTTGGTTTTATAGACTATTAAAAAAAAGCTGGAGGAGCCAGACAATGCATAACATAGCAGAGATACTCCTCATAAGTCATCAAAATGGTACATTATGGATAAGTTTAAAATACAGTTCATTATTTATATTGTTTTCATTTGAAAGGATCTATAGATGCATGTTTTGAAAGATCTGCATAATAGCTATGATGGCAAAGTCTGAGTCCAACCCAAATCATACCATACTTAACCGTATGTATTGACATCAGATGATCTCGATACCACAGGAAGTAACTATATGAGAATTTATACATGGAACGCACCTGTATGACTCAAAAAGCTAAATGGTAATTGGTTTACTATATGTTGATTAGTATAGCCTACCTTTAGGATTTGCGGTGCAAGGCAAAAGTGTAACTAGGAGAACCTTTCAACGTGAACACAGTCACTTATCTCTGACACTACAGACACCACATTACTCTTGCTCTAGTTAAGGCTGACCTTTTTTCCCCAGACGTGTCCAGGTGGCTTTCTATCCTCCTGGAGCAATGCACTATGATGGGAATTACTGT